GACTTTAATCTTGAATTGCTGTGCGCACAAAAAGTTTCAAAACTTGAAGTAAGACGATGTTAAAGAAAAATCAAACAACATGAATGCACATGTGGTGGAAAACTAAGAAGACTGAGAGGGAAAAGTAAGACTGAGCAAAATTAAGAGTCAAAGAAAAGATTAAGCGCTAAGAGAGAACTAGAGGCCAAGTGAAAAAAAATGAGTGAGCACCCCAACTTTACTGGTTTTATCACCTTCAAACTGGGAGTGTCTCTGGGGTGTGTGTGTATGAGAGGGGATAGAGGGGAGGGGTCGTTGGTGCAGCTCCTGGAGAAGACATCTCTAGGATCTCTGATTATTTAATCTAACTTATACTTTTGGCTGATAAAAGAGTCAGATCTGATACCCACTCATGATGGTTAATGTTATTGAATGCTTGGTACATAATAAATGATTTGATACTAATCACATATGAAGAAATGTAGAATCACATCAAACATTCTCATGATGTTTTAAGTATCACACTGAACATGCTAAATTACTCTGAACTGAAACAAATAGTAACACATAGAAACTGTGAACAACAAAAGAGTAAATACATGTGAATGGCTTCATTATGATTAATAATGGATTCTATATACCCACATTTAGATTATTCAATGACCTTATAACCACTGTAGCAATCAAGACAACCCAGTGTGTGAAACTCACACATTCCTCGCAGAAAAATTTCCTGATCTGGTCCCAGAATATAGGATCATATAAATCTTTCGAGACTTGTTTTCACTTTCAGGTTACCTAACTGACCCGATCGGAGGTTGACCTAAACCTCTGGCTCTTCACGATTGGTTAATTTGGAGAACAGAGACAGAGTTTTTATTACCTTTCAAACTGACTCCATCACTGACCATCTAAATAATCATTCATGCCTCAATCCAGGTCTCCCATTTGAGATTTACTGTTTTAAACATACAGACCCCAAAATAAGGTCTGAGGAGCAGGACACTGACCTCCAGACCTCGGTCGTAAAACCCTGCTCAACCATGTTCTGATAAAAACTGCATACCTTTGGAGAAAGAATAAAAATGACTGATAATGACATCTTATGCATTCAGCAATGTACTAATCTGTCTAATCATGAAATTTGTGTTAAAATGAGATGTTTCCCATTTTTCTATGTGCTCCAGAAGCCAAGTTATCACTCTGACAGAATAATCTGAATGTGAATATTTAGAATCCATTATTAATCATGATGAAGTTCATTCACGTGTATTTACTCTTTTGTTGTTCACAGTTTCTATGTGTTACTATCTGTTTCATTTCAGAGTAATTTAGCATGTTCAATGTGATACTTAAAACATCATGAGAATGTTTGATGTGATCCTACATTTCATTCATATGTGTTTAGTCTCAAATTATTTATCATGAAATCAAGCATTCAATGATATTAATCATAGTGAGTGAGTATCAGATCTGACTCTTTTACCAGCCAAAAGTGCAAGTTAGATCAAATAATCAGAAATCAAATAAGTCAGGTCCGCCGCGCCAACAAGGCTTTCCCAAGCACAATTCGGTATTTTGGTGAGTGGCGCAGCCCGGCGTAAGTATCCCCCCTCCCTAACTCAGCTCCTCCCAGCGTAGAGAGGGAGGAGAGAGGGCGTGGAGTGGGTTTAACACAGCCAAGTGCTGTTTTCACCAGTCACATCAGCTCCTCCCCTCACCTTTAAAATCCACCACCGGCGAGGCGTATTACAATTTTCGTGAAGTAGTCGAAGAGATCAAGAGATGGCTGAAGACAGCAATGCCACATGATGGCGACAGGAGGCAGCCAAGTTTCGCGGTAAGCGCTTCAGAGTGCGTCCTGCACACTCTCTCGAACAAGCACAGATGGATTTGGTGTGTGTAAGGTTGGACCCACTGGTAAGACAAACACCCTTTTCCACAAAAAAAGACAATCACAACAAATTGCATATATTTAAACCTCACATGAAAAAGGTGGGTTGTGCGTACAGATCACAACATAAATAAATTCCAATATTGGCATTAAAATCGGAAACCACCTGTGCGTAAAGGACCCATCGCGCTCCGTGGCCTGGCTCTTTCTTTCATTGATGTTGGTATATAAAATAAATTTGGCTCACAGAACTGAATATTATAATATTTATGTAAGCCTAACTCTGGATTGAATATTTACAGAATTTTAAGGATGTGAGAACATCAGATAAACGGTTTATTCTGATTGAAAGTTTCTTTTATTTTTTGTTCAAATTTTCGAAGTAAATAACTCATCTGATCACTAAAATAAATCATCTGTTCAGCCGCCATGGCATCAGGACAGGGACGGGACACTGAGACTTGTCGGAGTCGACCTGCAAGAGAAAAAGGAGGAAGAGAGAAAGGGGGACAAATTAACTATCTTGTTAACTTCATCATGTGTGACAGTTTACGGGATATTTAATGCGGTTTCAGCTGTGTTAATTAAGTCAGGTTGAGTGTCCTAATGCGCACCAAATGCGCTCATCAGATCAGATATAGATCAGAATATATCGATGTAGATCTAAACGTATAAGTGCTGACTCAGATAGTTGCACTGAATATTGGTTGTTGTTGATTATGTATTGCACTGAAATGTGCCTGACACTGTGGAAACCTGCCGGTGAGGCATTGGTGACGTATGCCGATACGCTGCCGATCTACCAAAATACCTCTAGACCAGCTGTGCTCCGCCTGCGCTGAAAGCTGACCAGGTTTGAATTAGCGAGCTTTCAGCACACTTTCCATGCCACTGGCGAGCATGAAAATGTCACTGTGCCAGCCGATTCAGTCGACACTTCCCCCTGCCGCGCTACCACGGCCAGCTTGGCGAACCTCGGCGCGCCTCAGTCTATGAAAATACCGTGCGCCGGGCTCCGCCAGACGAAAATACCACTGCGCGGGGTGCACCACCCTCTGCCACGCCACCGGCGGGCATGAAAAAAAAAACCTAAAAGTTTGTGAAACAGTCTGAAAATCTGTTGGTCTAAAAACTGGAGAATAAAGGATTTATTCTGTCCAAGTGATAACCTTACTACTGGAGCACCTAGAAAAAAGTGACACGTCTTATTTTAACACAAATTTCAAGATTAGACATATTAGTACATTGCTGAATGCATAAGCTGTCATTATCAGTCATTTGTATTCTTTCTCCAAAGGAATGCAGTTTTTATCAGAACATGGTTGAGCAGGGTTTTATGACTGGGGCCTGGAGGTCCGTGTCCTGCTCCTCAGAGCTTATCTTGGAGTCCATGCGTTCACACAATTAAAGAGAGTAAATCTCAAATGCGAGACCTGGATTGAGGCATTAATGATTATTTAGATGGTCAGTGATGGAGTCAGTTTGACAGGTTATAACAACTGTCTCTTTTCTCCAAATTGACCATTTGTGAATGGCCAGAGGTTTAGGTCAGCCTCCGGTTGGGTCAGTTTGGAAAAGTGCAAACAAGTCTGGAAAGATTTATTTTATCCTGTGTCCTGGGAAGAGATAAGGAACCCTTCCTGCGAGGAATGTGTGAGTTTCACCCACACAGTTGTCTTTATGCTACAATATTGTATTATAATATTAAATTAGTGCAGATTTCTATCATGTGCGCATGCATTAAAGCAGAGAACATGACCATCAGTCATTTCATGCTGCCAGACTGCACCAGCATCAGAGGGAGCGACCGCGAGGAGTGAAGGTCAGGGGATTGGATTAACTGTACTTGGTGAGTGTCTATATATGTTTTTATTTTCTGTATTGTATATGCAACAGCGAGTAACTATCAGCGCTCAGTCTAGTTATACAACACTAAAAGTGAAATGTCAGCAGAGTGCTTTGTCCTCAGCTTTTTGCGAGCTGAAGTCTTAAAGTAACTTAACTTTTAACAGTAGAAGTCAAAATTAATGTAAATTGCTGTACTTAAAATGTAGAAAAATAAGAATTTGCCTGTCTACTAATTCAGCAGGGAATGTTGCATAAATTTATTTGCATCACATCTGTACATTTTATAAAGTTTTGCTGTATACACTTTATTCTGTACAAGTTCAGTACATTTATTTCATAACATACAAACCAGCTTGATTAAACATGAGGAGGAACCCTGTTCAGGGCAGTGACAGTGTTGATTGCAATAAAAATTGTTATTGATATTGAAGTTGCTTACAATCAATGCATTTTACTGGTGAAACTGGAATCGCATTGTCTAATTTCTTTTGATTTAAGTGAAATAAGTTAGTTGTACTCAATAAAATTGAGCTAACAATTTGACTTTTCTGAGTAGGAAGAAAGTAAAATAAAGGAGTTAGAGCAACTTAAATAGAATAAGTTGACCACTTATTAACACTAAAACTTTTATATAAAAATTTAGTTGGTTTAACATAATTAAGCTTGTAAAGGACAAGACAAATCAAGTTCTTTGTACTACACTACTTGAGTTAGTCCAGCTATAAAAGTCTCAAGGGAACTACTCAATAATGTCTTAGTTGGAATTACTTAAAAATATAAATGCAAATTGTTACAACATTTTTTTTTAAGTTAGAGTGTGCATGGTTGGAAATCAATTCCTGGCCTGAAAATTGCAAAACAATCAAACATGTGACGTGAAGTGACAAAACGTTGTTCAAAGAGGTGAGGAAATACCGTGACAGTCATAAGCAGCCAGATTGCTTGATAAGTGGCGAGCATCATGCACACACACTGCATCAGTTTTGCCACCGTAAAGTGGATGAGTAAAAGTTTTCTTTTCTCTTTTTCTGTGTGGGAGCCTTTGATCAAAAACTGGACACAGAACAGGGATTCCCCAATAACCTAGAAAATGTCAGCCGTGTGTATTTAAAGCTGCAGACTTGATGCTGATCCATCAACAGAGCATCAGGAGGGGGGTCATAGGTGTACCACGAACAGCTAAGACTTTCAGCCGAGTTTATTCCAGAGAATTAATAAGCTTCAATCTGCTGCTGTTAATCCATTAGACATGGCCAGATCCTCTAACTCCTCTACATGGATGCTGCCTCTGCTGCTGCTCTCTCTTTTCATCTCTTTTCATCAATCCTTCTCTGAAAGCAACAAACAAACAACAACAAAGAGCTGCAAACTGCATGAGTTCAACACTAACATGGAAAACTTGGGAAAGGTTGTGCAGGTAAACCAGAATAATTATGATTGTGTTTAATGGATGTAATGCACCATCTTTTTCTTTGAACATGTAGTGATGATGGGGAGGCACATTTTTTTTGCAATTGTTTTAGTTATTTATTTTTTATCTTTGTTTTGTTAATGGTGTGTAGTTTTAAAGACGACATCGGGCTGTGTTTAAATGTGTCTCAGTTAATCATCTTTGATGTTTTTTGGTGCATTTTAGGAACGTTTGAATACTGCAAAAGCAAGAATCAGCCAATTTCTGATCATATGTGGCTACTGCTGTGATTTATTTTTTCTTTTAATTTCTCTTTAGGATTTGCAGATTTTGCAGAACTGTTCTTTAAACTGCAGCTTGGTTCCTGTTACTGTAAGTTTTTGTGTTATTTATTATTTTTCTTTCACTTGTTTTGGCCTTTGTCCTTTTCTGTCGCTCTTTCTTGGGCGTCTGCCTCTGGACTTTGCCCTTTACCATTTTCATGTTTAAAAAAATATCTTTTTTATTTAATTTAATTATTTAAAGTATTTTATCTCACCCTCTATTATTTCAGTCTTTTTTATTAGATAATTTGCAGTGTTGGAAAATGAGGCCACTGTAGAGGTACACAAAACTGTAGTTCCTGGAGTGTCCACTAGATGCTGCCTCTAAAAGCAAGTCAATCTGTATTCTGCCTGATAGGAAAACAGCAATTTCAAGAGAGGAACTTGACATGTTTTCAAAAATGATTTTAGACTTGATTAGTGAAGAGGATATTTTCTAGACACTGTCTATTGTCTGGACTTAGATTTTTGAATGTGCTTTTAGGAAACCTAAAAAAGTAGACTTAATCTAATTACACTTCAAAATGACAAGGAAGTAAGAGTGAGTACCCAAGGAAAGTGATTTGTGTGTTGTGTATTTCACTCTGTGTCGTCACTTTTGCAATCTTTGTAATAATATGTTTGCGTATGCAGCTTTAGCACAACTTTACCACATCCTCTCTGCTGTACCGTTATCTCATTTCTGCTCGTAGATGCTGCATTATGTTTTTCATATGACCACACGTTTAGAAAGGTATTTCCTTAAACGATCTGTTTATGCTCTTCCATAGGATAAAATGTGTCAGTGTTTCAACCTCAGCTTGTCAGAGGGGGTAAGTTTTTTTTTTTTTGTCGCTGTGTGTTACAGAGATAGTTATCATTCATAATGTAAGATACAGTAAATGCTCGTCTAGAGGATCATGAGAGTCACAGTGGAAAAATTATCACGTATTGGACTAACAATAGAGGCGTCTCATCAGGGGTTTCCCTAAGCTGATAGCTCGGTAATAATTTGGGAAATGATGAAAGTTATTGGTATTATTTTTGTTTCTACGAAAACAAGAAACTAAACAGTTCATGGAGTAGGTCAGATTTAGCTCAGCACAAAGATCAGAGGCAGATAATCATCATTTACTGTATGTTTGCTGGATTTTCTCAAATACATCATTTTTTATCCCAGCTAACCCTTTTTAGTCACACACAATGCAAACTGACAGAGGCAGACCAACAAATACATCCAATCAGGAGTGTTCACATATTTTTATTTGTTGCCTATAAAAAAGTTTGCTTTAGAGTCAAAGTCAACTGCTGACTCCTGAAGCTTTAAAAATCTGTGTTGAGGCTAATCACAAGTGGTGAAACACATTTATTGTCAAGCTGTCTTGAACGGCAAACACATATTTTACAGAATCGCATCTTTTGAGTGACATTTGTGGAGCCACATCACCTCTGTGTGAGCGTGAATGATCCACTCCAGCACTCCAGTCTAATAGCGCTGATTCAGAGGCTGGTGGTGTTTGTGTTTTATCCTCTGGCGTTGATCATTTATTCATTTTTAACTTTAACCGCTCAGGCAGCAATGCAGACTTGGCTTGTCCTGATGCGTGAACACTGCATGTGTTCCCAGTGTTCATGCACAACAATGTGTCCTTTTAAGCTTGATCATTTGATTGTTTTTTGTCTTTTTTTTGCATTATGATTAACATGATGGATAAGACGCTATCTCAGACAACAAACAGCACCCTGCACCCTTACATTAAATACATAAATAAACAGTAAAGTTTAGCTATGGCAAAAGCTCAGTATGGGAATTTATTCAATGAACTTAGTTTGAAAATGTCTATCTGAAAATCTCTTGTTTTATGTCTTCAAATGTGACTTTGTGTCCCTCAACTTTACAGAGAGCCTCATCTCTACAAATTTTTTTGCACAATTTTTTGACCCAGTGCAACATCAATCTTTTTCTATCAACTAATATGATTATGTTGTGTGTTCTGGACAGGAGCTGTCTTTCCCCGAGTATTTCACTAAAGGTTTGAAGTCCTTTTACCTCACATCGCGTACTGGCCGGACAGCCATCAAAGACCTGATCAAGATACTGGAACGAGGTCTTAAAGGGTGTGAGGTGAGTACTGATAAATATTTGAGTACAAAAAAGTTACATTTATTAATTGTTTTCTGGGTTGTTTACTATAATGAGAGTCTGGTGAGGGTGGTGTTATATATAAGGTAATAGTAATATCAGTATAGTTATACATATATATATATATATATATATATATATATATATATACACACACACACACACACACACATATATATATATATATATATATATATATATATATATATATATATATAAAAAGGTCCCATGTTCATTTGCCATAACAGAGGCCGACATGCAGACATTAGTTTAATCCTTCCCTAGTGCATGTGGGATGAGGACAGTAGTCCAGTAAAATTGGCTAACTGAGCTAACACTTAGCTAGGCGTAACTCTGCATGTAGATAGACTGAGAGTCTGTCATCTTTCCTCTCACTCTCTACTAATCTGCAGGAGCCTCATTTGTCAACTAAACTGTCAACATTGCTTTGTAATCCTTTATATATACTCCTTTATATATCAGCATCAGCATGATATAACCTGTCAGAGCGCAGTTTTGAGAAAAATATATTCTTTAAACTTAACTTTTGACTGTAAAGCTTGGCTAACGAAGAGAGTGGGATTTATGCCCTTTACTGCAGCTAGGCTGTAGGGGGAGCTCTAAAAGTTTTGGCATAACTGTAATGTAAATGATAAACAAATATAGATAATGTGTTGTGCCACTTTATTAACATTTGTATATTTTCATTTCCTTTTCTGGTAAAGATCGGCTCGCTGAAAATCAAGTATGAGACTGTCCTCTCACCGAAAAGCTTCTGGAAGAAACTGGAGTCCCTGGCGCGGCAGGTCAACTACAACCGGGCTGTGACCTCCAACTCTAATCAGTAATCCACCTGTGATAATGTAGCTGGGGGAGGGGGGAACAAAGTTAGCATCATGACTTAGAAAATATTCACACAAATAAGAAGGCATGCATATTTAGCACGACAATGACACATTTTCAATCACTGAAGACATTTAGAGTATGAGTGTATTTTTAGCAATAAGAAAAGAGAGCAATAGCAAATATAAGAAATATCCTGAACTCTGACTGATGTGAGCCTTTTACCACCAGTTCTGTCAGCTCTTCTTTGCCTTAGTCATGTTTGTTTTGCTGATACATGACAGGGTTGTGCAGAAACCAGGGTAAGGGGTGTGCATGCTACAGTATCCCTTTTTCTTTTAGAGTTCTCCAAGTAGTGAAATCAGGTATAGCATTATAAAGGCCTATCATGATATTCAAATAAGATGTTTATATGCACAAACTCGAAACAGGTTTGTTAAACGAGTTCAAAACTAGGATATTCAAGTCCATATAGACAGTCTAGTAACAAATAATGCTTTCATGTATAATCAAAGTCAAAAAGATTCATTTCAATGCATGAAAACTTGAACTAAGTCTGCATTTATCACTGCACCTATAACGTCAAAGACCACAGCTCTGCTTTTGTGCAGCTGAGCAGAGAAAGTGCTATAACAGTTTATAAATTAGCTTTGGAACCACAGTTTATTAAGTCATTGAGATATCCAAAATGCACCAATCTCTCTTAAAACCTCTTTTTAAATCAGTAGTTATTGAAGCCAGATGATGACTCAAGCACCTTCTCTCGACATGCTGGAGAACTTAAAGGACATAAGAAATTTAGCCAAGCATGAAAATATGACATTACTTACAAAACCTGTATTAGATTTACTATTTATTTGATCTAATAATAATTTATCATTGTATTGTGGAAAGTCTTTGCAGACTTACTTATTTATGACAATTTTATTCTGCATTGGTGTGAAAAAACTATAGGCATATGTAATCTGTTTTTGTTTTTTAATCCACTCTTGTTTTTTATTCTTTTGGGCTCCTGTTACCTGTTTCATTTAATGTGTTTTCTGTCTACTGTATTTTATTAATGCATAAATAAAATCATGATTAGCATCAATCAGCTGTTATGCTTTGTTTGAATTAAAGTTTCTTCCTTTACTTACCTGTCACATTCAAAATAGGAAGACCTTTGAGTTTGACACATAGACTGTAAATATAGTACGGACAACTTGGCTCCGCCTTCTGTCATTGTATGGATTTGAAGCCAAATTGCTCTCGGTATTCCCAGGATATTTTCCGCTTCCTGGAACCACCACTTGCGCAGTAGCGTTGTACAAATTCGACGGGAGAGTCGCCGTGATGAGGCTTGACTCAAATAGCGTATCCCCCTGGTGAGCTACACAATCTTTGTAGTTCCATATGTTGTATCAAGTGTCAATCATAGAAACATAAACCCCCTAATAACTTTTAAAAATGGAGCTGTACAGAAAAAAGAGGACTTGAGCACAAACCAGTCTTACAGTAACTACATGTCAACATTGCAACCAGAGGGGAGAAAAATTTATATTCTGTGTAATTAATTTCTAAAATTTGTCCACAGTCCCATTAGCTTTCCTAGCGGAGGCAGGATTTATGACCTATACTGGAGCCTGTCACCAGAGGGTGCTGTTCTCAGGGTGGCTTCACCCAGCGAGGAGCCGGTCGATTCCATTCTATATCCAGTTTATGGCAGGGGTCAGCAACCTTAAACACTCAAAGAGCCATTTGGACCAGTTTCCCACAGAAAAGAAAACACAGCGAGCAGCAAAACCCCTTTGACATCTAAAATGAAGATAACACAGCATTTATCATTTTTTTATCTTTATGCAAAGTACATTAAAAACTGTAGTGTGTTGCATTATTGCAATTGTCCATTACTTAAATTCATAGTGAAATTAATCTAAAACTAGTATTCTACCTTTTCTTCATTCAGCTGCTCTTATTTTCTTGCTTTTTATTTCTCAAAGACTTAACTAAATCTGGGCTTCTTTTGAAGTCAATACAGCTGCCCTCTACTGACCATCTTAAAGCATTAAAGAATGCAGATTCAAGGCACTTTAATATTGACTTTACCTAAAAAAAAAAAAAAAAACAAGGCGACATCCCCTTTTTATTGACAGTCTGTGTTTCCAGCAGGACTTTGTGATGCTTTTCCCCTCCAAACCAGAATTAAGGATCTAAAACCGTTTTTATCGTAACAACTCTAGGGGGCCCCAGACCTGGACTTTTTTAGTTTGTTTATCTAGAAGACAGGTTTTAAGAAAAGGAGAAAGATGCTTTCAGCAACAGCTTAGTCCTTTTTTTTAGACTACATAGACTATAAATCTTTCAGCAAAGTTTATTTTTGTGTTTCTATCTCTGAGTTTAAAACACAGACTGTATGGACAACTTAGTTCCGCCTCCCGCCTGTTTACGGATTAGAAGCCAAAAAGATCTTGGTATTTTCGTGATTTTTCTTCATTTCATGAAACCACCACTTGTGCAGGAGCATTGTACACATTCGGCGGAAGACTCGCCAAGGGTCGCTGGCATGACGCTCGGCTCAAACAGCGTATCCCCCGGGTGAACTATGCAATCCCTGAATGCCAATAGGCTGTTTCAGGTGTAAATCATAGAAAACATGAACCCCCCAATAACTTTTAAAAATGGAGCTTCATAGAAAAAGAGGACTTGAGCACAAACCAGTCTTACTGTAACCACATGTCAACGCCGCAAGCAGGGGGGAGAAAAAATGTATATTCTGTGTAATAAATTCTAAAGTTTGTCCACAGCTCCATAAGCTTTGCTGGCGGAGGCAGGATTTATGACCTATACTGCAGCTCGTCACCAGAGGGTGCTGTTCTCAGGGTGGCTTCACCCAGCGAGGAGGCAGACTCTGTGGTTTAGAATCTGTCCTGTTTTTGATGAAGCCAATGCTGCTCTCTTCAGGCTGCTCCTAACAAAGCACCTCAGTGAACGAGAGAGCCGGAGTGAAGGAGTAACAGAGCAAGGGGGAGAGCGAGAGAGAGAGAGAGAGAGAGAGAGAGAGAGAGAGAGAGTTTCACATGTGCTGACTGAGGTATTGAGGAAGTGGCAGTGCCTCTCAGATGAGGGAACCTCAAGAATAACGACACACTAACAGAAACTTTCAACTTCTAGCCATGCAGCCTCCACCCAGAAAGGTAAGATAGGCTGTTTTTTGTTTTGTTTTGGTTTTTTTTCGGTTTGTTGGTTTTTAATATTACAGTTCTAGCTGCTCTTTGCATTAATCTCTGCACAACGTTGATGTTGTTCCTCCTGACAATGAGTCGGTCAGAGCATCTACATGTTGGTATATGTACTAACTCTGAGGTAACTTTAATGAATTATTGTATGAAAGTATGCATGCATACTTTTTTGAGAGCGCATCTTTTTTACTCCTTTCCCTTCTGTCAAACTCTTTAATGGTAAACCCCTCAAGGTCAAAAACATCTGTGGTTCCTTTAATCTCCCTCCTGGTTTCCTTTTTTTAATTTGAAACATTTGGGAGTGTGATTTTTAAAAGGAAATAATTCATTCAAAGTTGCTGTTCCTCTAATTTGTGGTTTCTACATTGATTCAGGTAAGATAGGTGTTAACACCACTTGGACTCCTGCTGCATGACAGAAAGGTTTTTGTATATTTGAGCCACATGTTAGGACCTTACAGTGATAGCTTATAGGATTTATCAAGTTTTCTTTTTTGGACTTGTATTTTTTGTTATTTATGTAGATGTAAACAAGAATCCTGACTCCCAAACCCTTTACCTATCAACCAAATCAACATTGTCATACCTTAGGAGTTCCTGTAACAATATAAGCAGAGACACTGCTTTTCAGTTAAAGATTTTTTTCAAGTTATTTTTTGATAGAGCAGTTTAACTACTGAAGAGCCCATGAAGTTGCATAAGTTACTATAATGCCATTATCTTGTGGACACAGTTTATTATATTGTGCGCAAAATATATCATCCTGTGCTCTAAATATAATTGATTGTCCTGTGGCCACAAGCTTGTTTTTGGTTTTGTTTTTTCCCTTCTTGGAACTTCAGGGGCTCCATGAAAAACTGTCAGATCCAGGGTTTGTTTGTTCAGACAATAGTCCACATTAGGATATTCAGGATCAGGTGATACAACTCATTTCTGCCCTGGTTATTCGAAGTAAAACTGGATTGGATTGACCTGATCTAGATACAAACTTTTAATGAACTAATCTAGATAGCCAGTGCTTTAAATCGTACTTGGGCTGAGTAGACATGCAGTTTGCCTGAAATAACTCAAGGAAAGAGTTATAAATGAGCTGAACTGTTACTTCACAGCAAATGACTGAACAATATTTCTAGACTGTTGTCATGTATCAGAAGTTTGTAAATGAAATAGAAGAATGAATAAAAGAGAACTCTTTCAAAATAAAATGCAACAAATATAATAGAAAAAAAACATCTTAATTAATCATATGGAAACTGAATTCTTCAATTGCCACACTACAGAGCAGTTCCTTGAATCCTCTGTTGTGAGTCATATTGTTCAGGGAAGGTTGAGGGTTATTTTTCTGGTTGTTATGACTTAAATAAGTCTGATGTCCTGCAGTATATCCTATTGGACACACTACTTCCATGACCATGCACAGTCCTTCTGGGCTCAGCTTGGCATCACTGAATATAGTCAAATTTTGCCTTAAACTGAATAATGCAAAATGCAACTACACTTACAAATCCCCTGTATTGGTTTGACTGCCCTTTATTTCAAACCGGATACATTACATAACTTGTCCACAGGGGACGCCAAAGTCAGCACAAACTTAAAGGTAATCACAGTTGAATTTCATTCAACACTGTTTAATATCCATGCCTTTTGGTTAGATATTTTTTATTATTGTTGTTTGTTTCAGATATCCCATTAAAGTTCAGTTCTGTGTCTCATTTTTTCAGCACAAAAAGCAGCCATCTACTGTAGTCATTTATTTTTGGGCTTTGCACTGATGATGAAGTATTCTGCTTTACCTCATTTAAAGTGTCTCTTATATTCTCACAGTCCACTGTCTTTTTAATGGCTAACCATTTCAGAGCTAGTTTATCCATAAACAGTTCTCTAGATCTCCAAAGTTTTAACAAATGCCAACCTCTAAAAAAGCAGAAATATAGAACCCTGTTGTTAACAAAATATTTCAGCTACCTAACCTGCTTGTGACAAAGAAAAAATGCTTATGTCTCGAAAATAGTGCACATCTTAATGGTGTGCATGTGTGTATGCAGGTGAAGGAGAGCCAGCAGGTGAAACTTGTGTTTTCAGAGCAGCTCAGCAAACTTCAGACGAAACAACATCAGGACACTGAACTGCTGGAGGAGATCAGGTACTGTCGCCTTACTCTGGATAGCCACATTTACACCCCCCCTCCAACAGGATCAATACAGAAACACGCAGTGATAACATGTCAAGTCAATCTTTGCAGGTGTATGTGTGTGTGTGTTTTTCATGTTTTCCCCCAGGTCTTTCAGTAAGCAGCGAGCAGCCATAGAGAAAGAGTATGGTCAGGTGAGGACACCTCAACTATTCTGGTCCTCTATTAATTCAATTACTGGAACTTTTACTGGAAATGCTACTAATTTATTGATTCCAGGTCGCGTGTCAGTACCTGAGTGCTGTGTTGCTTTCTGCTGGGACTCTGTGCGTCACTATGTTTCAACACCCACTTCTGGTATAGTTTAGTCTGGGTTTTCACAGACCCGCAGGAAAAGCTGTATTTGCTTTGACACCATGGTGTAGAATGGGTCATGTATGTGGGTGTGTGTAAACACTGGATAAATATCTGTGTGTTTTTGTGTCTATGTGCTCAGCCACTGCTGACCAGTTTTGGGTAATGATATTTATACAAGTACCTCATTCAGTAACATGGCTACTACCATTAAAGGAGACCTTATTGACTAATTTTCACCTTTCTTAATGGCATTCTGAACCTAGTGTAGCTTTGCATTATTTTTATTTGATACTGACATTTATGGAAATCCTGCTTCCATCAATGTTTAGCCTCAGCCTCAAACGCTTTATTGTTCCTCACCGATATAAAGTTCGAAACAGTTTGAGGTTGTTGCTTTTTTCATAGCTTTATGGTCATGAAACATCCCGCGAGTAATGCCTTTATAGAAGATGCCTGAGCCTTACTGTTGAGCGTTGGGGCTAGCTGTAAAACAGACCGTCCAGCTTCTGGGTGGGTGTGTCATTGACAGAGCTGCATGGTGGCTCCTAAGCACTTAGCGTAACCCTCAAAGGATGGCACAATATGACTTCAGGTTGCGGCCGTGTGTGGAAACACGGCCACAACATTGCTGCCAATGCACTTTTTTAAAAAAAGCAAGCGTTAGTGGACACAGGCCCCTGGATTATCTCATAGTTTGTTTTCTGTAAAGCTGATTCAGAAGTGAACTGTGTGTTTTCAGGCTCTTCAAAGGTTAGCTGTCCAGTACCAGAAGAGAGACTGGCAGAGAGGAAACACTGACGGTGTTGCTTCTGGGTAATTTCTCACTCCCTTTTTTTTAATTTTGTGTATGATTCTTAACAAATCCAACTGTAGTTTTAACAGGTTTTGTGTGTGTGTGTTCCAGGAGTGTGTTTGGTGTTTGGCGATCAGTGGTCGATGCTACAGCTCAGTCTGCTGCTTCACGGCTCACTGCTGCAGAGGAGTACAGACGACTGATTAACCAGGTCACCAGAAGTCTACGAAACGCCAAAGACGTCCGGACTAAGAGGGTGAGCTACACATGGTTTTTACACAGAAACACAAACACTCAATCACTAGTGCATTGATTTCAGCACACTGGAAGGTCAACACACTAACATAGATGGCTGAGTGAAGACTTTTGGTGTGCATGTGTCACAGGGCCTGGACCGTCTCCAGAATGTACAAGGAGAAGTGGTGGATGCTCTGCGGGAGCTGCACAGGATCAAAAAGAGCTACTATCAACTAAGTCACATTGCCATTGTTGCCCGGGAGAAATTTGCTGATGCAAAGACCAGGTCTGTAAATATGAGACCAAGTGCATGTATGTTTTGAATGTGACAGATACAGGCAAAATCACCAGAAGTCCTACATACATGTCTGTAGAAAGTCAAAGAAAACACCACTCAATCTCCCCCCATTAGCCCTGATTCTGTACATGTCCTCAGCCCCTTCCTGTACACCCTGCTGACTTATGACTACGAAAACACTACAACCTAGTGATGTGTTGGAACGAACCGGTTCAAAGAGCTGGCTCTTTAAAATGAACGATGGGAGCCGGCTCCCATCTGTGAGCCTTTTTTTTTTTTCTCTTTTTTCCCCCACAGAGGGTAAAAAAAACTACAAGGCAGAATGACAGGATTTCTATCTGCTTTGTGTAGCAGAGTGGTTCTACAATCAAGTCAGTTATTTATCCACATCGCCATTTTATTATGAAGGACACTTCCTCTAGAAGAGGTACTGAATGAAAACAGTTAAAAGAACTGTCAGAGGGTACGAATGTTCATGCTAAGAAGTTCCACAAAGAGGCAGACGCTCCAACGCAGTTTTTGGATTCACAATCAATCCTCTTTTAAAAGTGCCAAATTATCTTTCAGAGGGTTGCTACAGATAGTCTGCTGGCAGCAGTTGCTTCTTTATCTCTCTTACGTAAAATGACTGTATATTTAACTTAATCTTTTTACCCTCTTTGTCCAGATCCAGAAAGAGTGAACACGGGATTTTCCATTTCAAAGCAGGCCTTCAGAAGATGACCACCAAGGTATGTAAATCAAACAGAAATTGGTCTTCCTAAAGACTCAAAGCCTGTCACGGATGACGGAGAAAATTTTGTTAGACATAACAAAAGTCCAGTTCAAGTGTTTTTAAATTTACTTGATTCAGCATTTTGAGATTACCTTGACCCCCTCCAAAGATGGGTGTTTTCCAGGCCACAGGACTGGCAGGTGGACATGGTGCTGGTGTCTACATTGTGTCTGAAGATTCACTTCTGTCAATTGTGTATTGCAAACACCTGCCTCCTTGCATAAAGCTTTACTGTAGACCTGTCAGTGTGAATCTGAGAGCACAATGTTTTGACAACTTTCATACTATTTTAGAATTAGGGAGGTCTCAATTAACTTTTTTGGACCTTCATCTCGGTCTGTTTTTAAAATTTTGATCATCCTGATACCCAACCGACCCAATCTGATACTAGTGTCAAGTATCAGGTTGGGACCTGCACTGTTTTTTGTTTGTTTTATACTCAAAAAGACAAAAAGTTGTCAAAATAACTAAAATATATACAGTTTATTCAGTCTAACTGCAGCACTGTTGTAAACTCGCGTCATCTCTTTAACATGTTCCACTGTCTGAAAGCCACCAAAGTGATGTGCGTGTCATACTGCATGCTGAAACTCAGCATTATTGCCATGAATGCCACTCTCATGTGACGGTGTAGCATGCAGGATGGCGACACCCAGCTACTGGACCAAGAACAGGAATATTGAACATTATCTCTGTAAAGTAGAGAAAGCAATCCGGTGTGCAGAGAGACTCAGTAATGACATGGACAAATGCCAGAGCTCCAAATGTCTGAAGTAAAACTAACAGTGGTCACATTATGTTTGAATCACCGCCTGACCACGTCTGACGTGTGTAGATGGCAGGACATACTGTGGATCCACAAGATGACAAAAGCCTCCATTCTCCACCAGATTGAGGGTCCAAAGCATTGAATTTAACCATCTTCTCTGTGATCCTTTTGGCCTTTTCACTTCCTCGAGGAAATCAATCTTTCCTTTAAAGCCCAGAGTTTATCGCTTTGATACTGCAGCCATTCCTCTTAATGCTTTAACAAACTTATCATATACAACTGCGTTTGTAGTCATTGTGTTTCACTGGAACAGAGCTCTGCTACTACTGCGCTGCTAAAGGATGGTATCGTCATTGCAGGTGGCTATTGAACCATTTTAACTCTCCATGTTAAAATATTTTTACTCAGTGCTGCTGATGCTAATGTAACAAACTGTCCGGTGTTTGACTTTTCGCCTCTGAACCCCATGACCCTGGAGAGTTGGCTACCATAGAGCGGTTGTTAGTGCTGTAATTTGGCTTGCTTTGTATGCAAGTGTTTGTGCAACAAACTTTAATTTAACATTTACTATTTTATTTTTAAGTACTGGTAGGCAAATTATACTCAGCAACATCTTCCACAATTATCAGGTTAAGTCACCTACTCAAATTGCTGATCATTGATCAATTTAAAAAACTGCAAAGAACCAATTGAGATTAGGGTCAGGATGTCCTTAGTCAGAATGATGCATGCATTTTTTCATGTCAAAGTTTGTGATATCTTTTACACTCAAACTAGTGTGTGTGTGTGTGTGTGTGTGTGTGTGTGTGTGTGTGTGTGTGTGTGTGTGTGTGTGTGTGTGTGTGTGTGTGCCCCAAGCTAAGCGCCAGGTTAAAGGAGTGTGATGACCGTCTGACTGGAGTTCGTAATGAATACCTGCTGGCATTAGCAGCTGTCAACGCCCATCACCAGCACTACTACACAAACGACCTACCGCAGATTATGGAGGTGATGCACACACACTCGCACACATGTAAATACACACACAGGCACACAGACAGCAGAGGGAAGGAAGCTAGACTGAGTTGTGTATCTGATCCGAGAAAAAGACCACAGAGCTTCCTGACTTATTGCAGACTGTTGGCTTTCGTTTTCGCCATAGACAAACACACGCAATCTGCTCTTGATCTACTTTCCTGTTTATTTGTAACTTATACCATCATCACATCCTCTCTGTGGTTAAATTTGACACCAAAAACACCCTCTGATATCCTGTCGCCTTTGTCTGCTAGTTTATTTTATTAAATCCTTCCAGAAAACCTTGTTTGTGATAAAAAAAAATCTTTTGTGAAGTGCTTTTAAACTTGAGGAGTGAGCTCAACTTGATTTCAGTCCACCTGTGGCAAATTCGGCTGATTGGACATGATTTGGAAAGCCACACCTGTCTATATAAGATCCCACAGCTGACAGAGCACGTCAGAGCACAAACCAAGCCATGAAGTCGAAAGAATTGTCTGTTGACCTCCGAAACAGGGTTGTATTGGCGCACAGATCTGGGGAAGGTTACAGAAAAATATCTGCTGCATTGAAGATCCCAAAAAGCACAGTGGTCTCCATCATTAAGAATGGAGGACGTTTGGAACCACCAGGACTCTTCCTAGAGCTGGCTGCCCAGCCAAAATGAGCAAGCGGGTGGAGAAGGGCCTTGGTCAGGGAGGTGACCAAGAACCCGATGGTCACTCTGACAGAGCTCCAGCGTTCCTCTGAGGAGATGGGAGAACCCTACAGAAGGATCACGATCTCTGCAGCACTCCACCAGTCAGGCATTTATGGTAGAGTGGCCAGACAGAAGCCACTCCTCAGTAAAAAGCACATGACAGCCCGCTTGGACTTTGCTAGAAGGCACCTGAAGGACTCACAGACCAGGAGAAACAAAATTCTCTGGTCTGATGAAACGAAGATCGAACTCTTTGGCCTGATTGCCAAGTGTCATGTCTGGAGGAAACCAGGCACTGCTCACCACCTTGCCAATACCATCCCTACAGTGAAGCATGGTGGTGGCAGCATCATGCTGTGGGGATGTTTTTTAGCGGCAGGAACTGGGAGACTTGTCAGAATCGAGGGAAAAATGAATGCAGCTAAGTACATCGAAATCCTTGATGAAAACCTGCTCCAGAGCGCTCCAGACCTTCGACTGGGGCGACGTTTCATCTTCCAGCATGACAATGACCCTAAGCACACGGCCAAGAAGACAAAGGAGTGGCTTCAGGACAAGTCTCTGAATGTCCTTGAGTGGCCCAGCCAGAGCCCAGACTTGAACCCGATTGAACATCTTTGGAAAGACCTGAAAGTAGCTGTGCACCGACGCTGCCCATCCAACCTCACTGAGCTTGAGAGGATGTGCAAAGAAGAATGGGAAAAACTCCCCAAATCCAGGTGTGCCAAGCTTGTTGCATCATACACAAGAAGACTGGAGGCTGTAATCGCTGCCAAAGGTGCTTCGACCAATTATTGAGTAAAGGGTGTGAATACTTATGTATATGCAACATTTGAGTGTTCTTATTTTTAGTAAATTTGCAAAATGTTCTAAAAAAAGTTTTTCGCTTTGTCATTATGGGGTATTTTGTGTAGAATTTTTGAGGGAAAAAGGGAATTTAATCCATTTTGGAATAAGGCTGTATCATAAAATGTGGAAAAAGTAAAGTGGTATGAATACTTTCTGGATGCACTGTATGCAGGTGAGCCATACAGATGAGACATGGCCATCTGTCAAATCATCAGCTGACACACAACCAGTTCAGGCAGTGGTCAGAAATTAATTTAGCAGTTGCTAACTTTGCAGTTGCTCCAGAGTGTTGAGTGCTGTGCAGTTTTTCACAGGTGGTTGGTTGTATCATAAACTCACAGTGTACCTTTAAGGGTGTGTCTGATTAAGAAAGAAGAGGAAGAAAAAGAGGATCAAGAAGAAGATCAAGAAGAAGACAAAGAAGAAGAACAAGAAGAAGAAGATCAAGAAGAAGACAAAGAAAAAGATCAAGAAGAAGAAAGAAGAAGAACAAGAAGAAGACAAAGAAAAAGATCAAGAAGAAGAAAGAAGAAGAACAAGAAGAAGACAAAGAAAAAGATCAAGAAGAAGACAAAGAAAAAGAAGATCAAGAAGAAGACAAAGAAAAAGAAGATGAAGAACAAGAAGAACTATGATCCTTACATTATAGTACAGTAGAAATCTCTACAGTAGTCCCGGTACTAATGATAATGATATCAGTCATACCACTCATATGAGTCAGACATTTGATACATAAAGAGAGGAAATAGTGAAAGAGCAGGTATCTCTGATACTGCTCCTCAAAATAAGAGGAAAAAAGCAGTAGTATCATTTTGTGAAAATGACCATTTCTCATAGCGTCTTACTCACTTTTGAAGTAGGGACACACCAGTATTAATTTTTTGTTGTTTCATAACCTGCTAAAAACTCATCACAGTTATGTTCAAGGACACCATCAAAAAAGGTCAACAAGCCGGCCCGCCTTATATTTTAATGAGAAATACTGTAGTAACGTGACAAAAGCCTAAGTTTAGAACAAGATACCTCACGAGACTGTATTAAATGAGTCTGCATCTGTTTTTGGGGTGTGCCAGCTTCTCCTGTGGGTATCACCGGCACACCTGTAGCTAAACCATTGAACATGTAAACACAAATTACAGCTGTGATGTGATTAAAAAAACAAGGATAACCATTTCTAAGGAGCAATGTTGCAGTCCAGTCTCAAAACTCAAGTCTCAGATCTCTGAGGTTAAGACCCAAAGAAAGGCATCAGTGTTAAGTGAAGTCTCCTTTTTTCAAACAAAATACACACACACACACACACACACACACACACACATATATATATATATATATATACTTGAATTACTGAATTAAAGCTGTAGTGAGATAAAGGTTGCACTCTGCTCGTTCCTCAGCTGATGGATGGAGATGTTTATGACGACCTTAGGAGCCATTTCACTCTGCTGTGTGGGACAGAGATGGACACCTGTCTGAACACACACAAAGAGTACAGCTGGATCTGGGAGACTGTGTCCAAGGTGAGCTCTGTGTGTGTGTGTGTGTGTGTGTGTGTGTGTGTGTGTGTGTGTGTGTGTGTGTGTGTGTGTGTGTGTGTGAGCTTAAAAGTGTATCTTGGGATGAAGGAGGCTTGTTGTCACAGGTGTACGTTGTCACATTACAATTATCTTTGCCAACAGAGGGTGCAACTAAGAAGTGGAATACTAGTTTTCTTCCTTTACATGGTCAGGGGTCATGTCCTGTCTGAGAAGAGAAGAGCACATTGTAAGCTGAGATGAACACCAATTAACCATTTCACACAACCAAAAGTAAAAATAAAAAATAAAAAACTTTATGTATTCTAAAATAAGCTTCTTCCAGATAAAAATACTAGCAGTGATACATGTGGACTTGTTAGAGGAGAGATTAAGGCATCCAGACATACCTCAGTCATTGTTCTGTTTTAAGCTAGAGCTAGAATTAGCAAACATGGTAGATTGGGACAACATGTCTCAGTCATTTTGGGGTTAGTTGTCACATGTTTAAAAGGGATTTAAATGAACACAGAGTGTCTGCTTATCAGCAGTTGTCATACTGAAAGTTTGACTTAATTATTACAGAAAAAAAGAGTGGTTTAAAGGAGAGGAGAAAGTGAGAAGACATGGTCAGGATTTACAAAATAAAAACAGAACATAGCAGTGCAGTAGCTGATGTGATGCTGAGAGCAGTCAGACAGGTGACCCAAGCTAATAAATCAATCAGGAGGACAATAAATACTTTAATGTCAACTACCATACCTTGGCTCGGTACTGCAAAACATTCACCCCAGCCGAAACACAGAGTCAGACAGATCTTCAAACTCCAGAGCATGTTCATAATATTTTATGTGAACGTTTGTTCAATGACTTTTTCTAGCTCAATGATAAACATTTTCTGTGCCTGACTTTGATGTTCACTTCCAAGTAAAAAAAAAAAAAATGAGAACAACAATAATTCTGTCCTTGTTTTATTAGCTGCAAAATCCACTGTGACATCTTACCCCATGTAGTGAGACAACTTACCCGATGGTGGGGCAACATGTCACATGTTCATACTCTCCATTTGATTGCTTATAACTCTGCACTGAAACACGATATGAAAATGACATAAATACAAAATATGTACCTGAGACTTTGGTCTTTCATCTGGTACACATTTTGTTTATATATGATGTTTTGATTCCAAGAAATATATGAGTGTAAAAAGTGTGACAACAAGCCCCAGTCTCTCCTACTGAATTTACAGAGGTGGTCCCTGAACTTTCTCTGTCATGTCCCTTTTTCGAGGATGAAAATTATTTGTGCCCTCTCCACCAAACAAACTACTGACAAAAGGTTCCTGTGTAACTTGTGAACATTTAAGTTCTGCAAATATAAACACCTTTCATCTGATCTCCATCGATCAGACTACTTTTTGTAGCTTTACAGCTACAGTACTGCACTTTGTATAACACTGTGGACTTTTTTTTTCTAAATCAGAGAAAACTTTTAAGATAATGAATCATTGAGCAGCAAGAGACCACCCAGTTTAGATTTGACCTGGTGACATTTGGCACTAGATTACTTCATAACAATTAATACATGAAACCTAAACACTTCAGCGATCACTTTACCACAAAATAAATTTAACAATTTTAACTGAACTAAACCCTTTTTATGTGGCATTTATGTTTAGATTGGCATATAACCCCTTTTATAATTAAAAAAAAATGAAGATTTATATAAAATTTTCTATTAAAATCCTGTAAAAAAAAAAAAAACCTAGCTGAGTAAAAATTTAAGGTGAAACCAAGAAAACTAACTAACAAAAATGGAATAAAGTCAGACTAAAAACACAGTAAAACATGAAAAATCAAAGCAGGGACCACCAGATGGGCTGCAGACACAAATGCAGAGACTAGTCCAGTCTCAGCGACCCTTTCACACGCTCACTGACTTTGAGGTGCTGAGTCGGTGAGGGTTGAGGATGTCCCACCACCAAATCATGAAGTGTATGAGGGGTCTCTGGCAGATTTTCTGAGCCCTCGTCGATAGGTAGGCATCTCTGTAGACTTTGCATGAGGGAGGGAATAACCCAGAGTTTATAGTGTAGTGATATAAAAATAGGGATTCCCCGTGGAATCCTGCAAGCACCCAGGAGAGAGGACTACCATAACACAGATATCATTAAAAAGATGATGAATAAGGAGCGTAGAAGGCTTTGCACTGGCACTTGAAAAAATGGGTTTGTCTGCATCATACTAGGAATTATTAATGCAAATTCCTACTGTTTTTGTCATAACTTAAAAATATTCACACCAGACTTTTTTTTATACAGCATGAGGTAAAATTATGTAGTTTTCATTAGTTGCTCTTCAGTTGATATAGAAAATCATGAAATAAATGAGACAAACATAACAACAACCTCCATTTAACCTCAAGTTTTTGTGTTATTTGCCATTAAATGATCACATCAGTGTTATGTGCATTGTAACAGCATGAAAGCTTGCTGTTTAAAGGAGCAATTAGAATTTTATGGACCACCCTTTGTCACACTGTCAGAGTGTAAAATCATTTTTGTTTTTTGTCTTTAATCCAGTCTTTAATATTAATTTACGATCACTTTATCAGAAGGAATGGGGGGATCCTTGCATTGAGCAACTCTGTCTGCAAAATTGTGAGAAGCAGTGAGTGCTTCATGTTTGACTGAAGCACTTTCACAGAACAAAGTACCTGCTGGGGATATTCTCTGTGAATATAATTGTCGGTGTGACCAGAGTATAATGTCATTAAATGACAGCTTATTTTTTTCATCTCTGTCAGCTGCTGATGTTATGCACTGTATATACACATCACATACTGATTTACCGTTATTGATTTGTTTTAAGGGTATTGCTACAAATGGGTTGCGACAAAGAGCTTTCAAGGATATTCTTGAGCTTTTAAATGTAGACACTTTTATCCAGACGGTGTCTCATAAGGTTTTATGGTACAAGACTGAGACGTAGACAAGGAGGGATTTGTAACTAAAAGCTTTTATACTGAGTCCAAGGAAATCAATATTCAAAGTGAACAACAAGGTACATAAAAAAGATGCAAGTGAAACCACAAGGCCAGGGTGCAGGGTCAGAGAAAAAAAACAAACTGGGGACAAGTCCCTTCTGTCTGCACTATTTTCAGTCAAATAAAGTGTTTCAATGATTGCAACTGAAATCTGTTTTCATCAACAGTTGGCACAGTATCCTAACTCTGTTAATAAATTGCTTCAATCCCTTTTTATTATAATCATTTTGTACCTGCAAAGTTTCCCAGGACATCTTCAAAACCAGGCACAAGATATTTGTCAGTCTGTCATTCGAGGGGGTTAAAAGGGTCACAGGGAGGCTGACAGGCAGTAAGAAAAGAGGTGTAGATGAAAAGAGGGAAAAAGGAAGAAAATGAATAATAAGATATGTTTGTTTGAAAATGAGGACAAGAGATGGAAGAGAAGTTTTGAAAGGAAAATGATGGTTCCAGCAGTTATGAGACAAACTGGTGGTTTCAAAAGATGCAGAAGTTACAGAGGGAAATTCAACACTTAGGTGAAATGTTTGAACTAATGTCACAACAGAGTGACATCTGAAGGAGGACATGACACAAGTTGTTCCTTTCAAAAACTGGGTTGGTAGAGAGAGTTTTCCCATTTTGGTTTTCATTCTTGGGATGGCAGGAGGCTGGCACAGGTAAAATCACTCTGAGCTGCACCCAGTGGCGCAGGTCTAATGGCTGAAGAGCGTATGTTTCCATCCCTCTTTGACACATTTTGGATATTGCTTTTGAAAAGGGAAGTCTTGCACGTTATTGTACTTGTTCCTGGTTGTTTTTGATTGGTTGTCTTGTTGTCAGGTGACCAGAGAGAGAAATGTGCTGCAGTTCCTTCAAGAATCTGTGTCCTTCAGCAAAACACCTGAATTCACCTTCCAGTCGGCTCCAGGTGACAAGGTGTGTTTGGGTTAGAATGAGCCTGTGTGCGACAAAGGTGGGACAAATAAAACATTCATGGCTGATGTCATCTGTGTGCAACCTGTCAAAGGGAGCTGCTTTTGTAACACTCATGCAGACAAGTTTACACAATTTTAACACTGAATGTCTAAATGTCTGCTGATGGCTGTGTGGTAGACCCAAGTTCTCCAGAATTCCCACCAGAACCTTTAAAGTAACTGTCTCTGTTTAAAGAGTAGGGGAGAGTGGGGTAAGATGAGCCATTATTCAAGATGAGCCATTTTTCATATTTCGGATCACTACATCAAGGCAATCATAGTTTGTCTCTAACTAGTGTATCTGCATATATTTCAAGATGTTGTGCATCCCTGCAAACCAACAGAATGAGTGTAAACATAACTGTCTTGATAAATATAGCATGCCAAAAAAAGTGGTCCCCCTACGGTCAACTTACCCCGTGTATGGGGTAAGTTGATCATAGGAGCTGGGTAAGTTGAGCTGTATCTCTACTACCCCCGCACTCTACACCCCAGCCCTCCCTCACCTTCTCTCTCCCTAAATAACAGTCATGTGTATTTTTATCTTTTTATAGGCTATTCAACTGGTACAGTCATACTTTTTATTATTGCATATAAATGCTAAAAAGCTGTTTTGTAAAAAAAATAAATAAATAAAAAATATTTTAACATGAGAATGTCTTTAAGTGATTCAGAACATTCACAGCTGTTCTTTTGAAAAGAAAAAGTAACACATTTCAACAATCTGAACTAAAACTCTGATCCTCTCATCAGACCTCTTTACTTTCCCATTCGAGCCACTGGCTCAACTTACCCCAGAACTGTAATTATGACTTTATTAGTCCTCTAAGCTAAAATGGTGGACTTTTATGTTAGGTGTTTGACCTGATATTATAGCTCATAGATACCACAATTAATGTATAAAACAAATTTAAAATAATCTTTTTTGGTCTGAACACAATTCTAATAAAACTTATGACAGACTCAATTCACTTTCAAGAGTGAACAATGTTTTTTTTTTTTTTTTAAATAAATGTCTAACCTCTTCACCCATGTGCTTCTAACCTGCACAGACTCCATGAATTGATGCCCATCTCCTAAATATTTGGTCACATGATCAATTTCTTTTACCATTTCCAAGCAACAGTGGCTGGCTCAACTTACCCCACTCTCCCCTAATCCCATTGACTGGAGACTTTCACCTGTTTTCTTTTTTTTTCTTTTCAGCTGTTTCAAGAGTCATGGTAAATGTGTCCTGGGTTTCTTTTTGTAACATCAAAATGTGCTCATCAGATATGTCTGTAACAAGAGCTAAAGTCATTTTAGAGGAAGTTTTCAGCAGCTGTTGTAACTTTAACATTTACTAACATATTCTGCAGAAAACCACAAGTTAGCAAAATTACATTTTAACCGCAACATCGCTGACATCTGTGGCTGCAAGCTGTTGAACATTTAGACAGTATCCAACCTCAGCTTAAGCAGATGTTCACTGCAAATAAATAGAATCAGCAGGACTGCAGCAGTGGTTCTTTGACCAGTGTGCATGTTATTTTACAATCCCTCTGGACTTTTGACCATGACCATCCACACCCACAGTGTGGACCTGTGCCAGATCTGTTAGTTGTGCAGACATTTATCTGGCGTGTCTTTTTTAATGAAATGTTTTAACTGTGTACAAGAGGAGCTTGAGGCAATCAGAGCAGATGTGTCACCTCCAGAGGTGCCTGATTCATACCCGCTGGTGTTAGAACTCGTATACAGTCACAAGGTCCGGATTTTATCCATCGTTTCTGTTTTTCATCTAAACCATCATCCAGTTTGATTTTAAAGCCACTGCTCTTGATATCAGGGGAAAACTGTATGCCACTACATACTTCTGTACTACAACACATTGGGATTGTTTAGACAGAACACAGCCAGATTCACTGAAGGGAACAGTGTAGCTAACAGCTTTATGCTGCACAAGTACCAGCGCATTGTATGTTCTGCAGGATTATGCATTGAAAGCTCAGAGCTGATAATAGAGGGAGGTTTCTGTGTCTCTGTTCAGGTTTCTGCTTTGCAAGAAGTTAGTGCTCCAGAATCAGAAGGCTGTCTGGTCAAGGAGGCAAAGAAATGGACTACAAAAGCTGCAAAGGACTACAAAATCATCACTCATGGAGAGAGGGTGAGACACCAGGAGCATGACTTGGAGCAAATCTTTTCAGATATACTTTTGAATCATTAGCATTCAAACATTTGAATTGCAGTGAATTATCCTTTTTTTAAAATGAAGATCTTGACGGTCGAGTTACAATAGAGGTTTTGCAACCTCATTTTTCTTTTGCATCAAGTTCTGATCGGAAATCTAAGCATTGTATATTCAAAATAAAACTCTGTGTCTGTCCTCGTCAAGCAGGCTCTGCAGACGTTGGAGAGTCGTCTGAAGCTCCTGTCGGGGGACACGTGGCTCAGCATGGAGCAGAAGATAGCAGAGGTGCAGGACAGCGTCAGGAAGGCTAAGGTGCCTTTTTATAAATGATTTTGAAGATACAGGGTGTAGAAATATAAATATTTAGCCCTCAGTTAGATTGAAATGCTCCCTTGCTCACCACACCCATTGATAAAGTGACAGGGGGCTTTTAGGACATGAAGCTCCTGTGATGCATGATAACTATGATCTCACTGACAGATACAGATACACTCTGCACTTCTAAGGTTGGTTTACTTCATAACCATTGCACTACTTAAGAGCTCTTGTAAAAATCAAACCCAGACAGAAAGTTAGATGCAATGATAAGGCATGATTTCTATCCTCCATAACAAAATGCATGTTGTCATGTCCTCGTTTCCTTCCTGTCTCAGCTGAGCAGGGTGAAGGCGGAGGCCCGTCTGGCTCTGCTGTCAGAGGGCGTCACAGGAATCGAACTGTGGCTCCGCGACGCCATGAACCAGGCGGAGGTGGAGCTGGAGAGAGAGAGACATCTCAGCGAGCAGAGGAAGTCTACAGAGGATTTCTCAGTACGCAGACACACACCAATTTGAGAAACTATTCAAAGTCCTCATACCTTTTGGAAACAGCTAAAGGTCGTTTGGAGTCTTGAGATGAAACCTGACAAACTCTGTTGTGTCTTTAAATTATTTTATAACACAGCTAAGAGGAGAAGCTCAGATGTAAAAGTGAGTCAAGACCCAGTCAATTAAAAACTGCACCAGAGAGAATAAAATGAATACATGAAATAGTGTTGACATATTATTACTTACACTACAGTGATAGGAAAACATTACCTTATTGAATGCTAAATCATACCTATTCTAAAATATTCAGAAGTTAAAGGAGACCTATTTAGCTTTTTTTTTTTAAGCGTGAACACTTAAAGAGTAACTTTGCCTGAATTTGAGCTTCTTGTTTATCTAAAACTGACATCTGTGAAAACCTCGTTTCAGCGCTACTCAGCCTTTGGAAAACAGAAAACCCCATTTAATTCTGAGCATTTTAAGACACTCGTCATGTTTGTCATTTTTATCCTCATAGGGAAAAGGGAGAATGATTCTAAACTTATTTTTTATCAATGAGAGCTTTGAGGATTGCAGTTCCAAGCCAGCTCTTTCATACTGAGACATGAAATTAAAAAGCTTACAAATATAGAATATAATTTGGAAAATGTTCAGCTGAGTCTCTGCTGGTGCTTTTGGTTCTTTACAAACACAAGGAAATAAAAGCTTTATTTGAGACGGTTTCAGCTCACACATTATACATAAATTGTAATGTAGTGAATATTTGGTACAGAAAGACAGCAAATTTGAGACTAAAAACTAAAACCTCATATTTGATCAATGTACATTTTGTTCATTCATTGATCTTTCATCTCTGTATTGTGTTTTAGGAGGATGAGTTTGAGCTGACTGACTTTGAGGACTATGATGATGAGAACGGAGACATCTTTGCAGATCCAGTGTCAGCATCAGGAGTGTGTGTTTACCCTGCAGCCTGCAGAGTTATCTACAACTACCAGGTAGTCTAAAATCAATGGTAGAGCGTATGTTTCCATCCCTCTTTGACACATTTTGGATATTGCTTTTGAAAAGGAAAGTCTTGCACGTTATTGTACTTGTTCCTGGTTGTTTTTGATTGGTTTTCTTGTTGTCAGGTGACCTGAGAGAGAAATGTCATTCAATCAATTTATCATTTTTTTCTTTACAACAACAAACTAAATGAGTGCCTGATTGGAAAGAGACATCCCATGTGATATAGTTACATGGATCACTGATGATCATAATTGTCAAATCAGAGTAAAAATGCTGAACGTTGAGGCCTTAACCAGAAAAAAGCGATCCCATTCGACAAATTAGCAAAGAGAATTCATTCTGGGGGAGGTAAAGGCTGAGGTCAGTCTCTATGGAACCATGTGATAAGGTGTTTTTTTTTTGTTTGTTTGTTTGTTTTGTTTTTGTCTTAACATATAAAAGAGAGCAAGATTTAAGTCGTTAAGTCCATCAAAAAGAAAAAATGGGTGTTAAAAAGAAAGTTTTGCCACAAAGCAAGTTGTCAATCTAATGCAGCCACACTCAAAGCCACTTCATCATCCTAAGAAATAAACTTGCTGTTTTGAGGAAGTCCTAAACTAAAGATTGAGACTAAACTGGTCAGAAAAAAGCTCACTGAGATATTAAATCAAGTCAAAAGTGAGACATTTTTCATAGACTTCTATTCAATCTGACTTCTTTTGCCCCCCTCTGGACTTCTGAAAAAATGCAGGTTTATGGCACTGACTTCGTGTTTGAAAAACCTGACCTCTAAGCCTATCTCTCTAATGACAGACTAGGATTTCATTTCATAATACAAGTTTATCTTTTCATAACTTTCTCTCTTACTGTAGGCTAGCCAATCAGATGAGCTGTCAATCATGAAAGGGGAAGAGCTTCAAGTAGTCGAAGATGGAGATGTGGAGGACTGGCTGAAGGTAACAGTTTCTGCTTTTTGACACTTCAGGATGTCAGCTCCTCTTTTTATATTTTAAAGTTTCTTGTTGTAGGATATTTGGTATTTTCCCCTCACCTGTTCATATCTCTGTCCAGGTGTGTAACTCCTGTGGGCAGGTGGGTTATGTCCCTGAGCGTTATGTGCAGTTCCTGTGTCTGCCAGCAGAGGATGCTGTTCAGCTGGACAGTTCTTTTAGCTCCACTTCCTCCATCGGAAACAAAGAGAGGAGCAGAGGTCAGTGTGTGTGTGTGTGTGTGTGTGTGTGTGTGTGTGTGTGTGTGTGTGTGTGTGTGTGTGTGTGTGTGTGTGTACTCAAACATTTTCTCATGGTTGAGTTTAAAACAAACAGCTGGTGTTGTGTCAATGTTACCTTTCCCAGGTGTAGCCAGAGCTCTGTATTCCTACCAGGCTCAGAGTCCAGAGGAGCTTTCCTTCCAGGAGGGGGCGCTCATCCACCTGAGGCGCTGTCGACATGGGGAGGTGTGTGCTTTTTAGACCCCGTTATAGCTGAATTAATCAAAATGTATTAAAAATAAACATTTTGAGACCTCTTAAACTTCAGTTAGTTGTTTTTGATCCTGAAAAATCTGATGAGTATAGTAACATATATGCAGTGCACACATTATCCACCAGGGGGCACCAACAGTGGAGCTTTTTCATCAGTGAAACAGATGTAGATTTCATGGATATTCTTTCAAACTTTGAAGAAGAAAATATTTCTGTGAGTCCAAGTTTCTTACTCAGTACAGTTACTTTGTAAAAAAAAGTTCACAGTGTTTACCTGCAGATGATAAAGCTTTAAAAGAATTTGTTCATATGCAGTAACTTGAAACCTGTGTATGTGTGAGGAATCACTTTGTTTTTGCTTTGAAAATTTCACCATTTTCCAAAAAAATGGATCTTAATGACCAACAATACACAAACCTTTGGAATTGCTTCTTTTGATTGCTAATGACTGCAACATGATGGGTTAAATAAGTGTCTGTTGATGCTGCTTTTTTTATTTATTTATTTATTAGTATTTTGTTTGTTTGGTTTTGCCACTGTCAGTTCCCACAAGCTTAAAAACAGATCACTCCTCACAGCACAGAATGTTACCAGGTTTTCAAAATTGTCCAGCAGCTGTTCTGCATACCTTAGAAATTACTATTGAATTTGTTTTAAAATGAGAATCTATCATAAAACTTGTCCAAAGTTGTTTTGTTGTGCTGGGTCCTGGGTAATATTCTTGTCCTGTAAACTTACTGGTTGTTTTTCTAAGATGCTTCTTCTAAAACCCAAAAATGCAGATACTTTACTTTCTTCAAAGCTTCACAACCATTCACCAAAACATTAATTTCTACCGTGAACTGTACATCAAATGCAAACTGCACTTTTAAACTCCTCACATTGTAAGACATAAAGCCAAAATGTCACTCAGCTAGGTGCTAACATACTGGGCTGGTAGAGGCCAGCCATGCACTGAAATAATCAGGCTTATGGAGCCAAGTAACCCCCTCCCCTAACCAAAACATGCATTTAACTTTCTTATACAAAATCACAGATGTCTAATGTGGGTCCAGTCCACTGCAGGTAAAACTCTTGTGTTCCCCTGAAGCTTGGTGTATATGTACATAGAAGTAAGATGGCCACCACCTTGACCAATAAACTGTTGTCACTATTTAACAATACTGTCACTACAGCTCTCATTGCTCTGACCTCACTCTCTGCATGGATATATGTTGTTTTGCAGGTGGATGATGGGTTTTGGGAGGGAGAGCTGAACGGACTGGTTGGTGTTTTCCCATCTTTAGTAGTGGAGCTTGTCCACAATGAAGGAGAGGAAGAAGAGGATGAAGAGGAGGAGGTACTCTCTCACAAGCTCTGCATATCCCTCTTTACTTTAATGAAACATCTGACCCATAATTCTTTTCTTTTTTTCAGCCTCTGCCCACTCCAACTATGCCTCCCTTCTCTCCCCCCATCCCAGTCCCTTCTGACCCCACCTGTAGCTCAGCTCTTAGAGCTACACCCCCTAGCTGTGTGGAAGTCAAACAACAGGTCTTTCCTCCAAGGCTCTCAGAGGACATAGTAGGTGAGTTATGTCCAACTTAATTGTATACAGGATAGATTTTTCTTCGTTTTAAAGGCTTTATAACCGTTTCAGGCCATAAAAGTGGTTTTCTTTTCCCCTCCAATCAGAGACTGAGAGCAGCAGCCGCAATTCTTCAGATTACATCAGCGGTCAACTGAGACCAGTATGTGCTGTTTTCTGTGATGGTAACTTTTCTAGGCACCACGAAGACATGATATCTGAGCTGTCTCTCCTCTCTCTGTTTTAGTGTCGAGCTCCACCTCCTCCTCCAACAACAAAACCTCCCCCTCAGCATTGAGACCAAGACTAGAGTTTTTGTCAATGTCTAAAATATACGACCGGTCCAGACAAAAAGGATGCTGGCTTTGAGCCTTAGAATGTTGTTTTAAAAACAAATGTGTTTTTTTTTTTTTTTTTTTTTTTTTTTTCATTTTTAGAAAATATTTTTCAGGTTTTAATGCATCCATGTGTCCTGGAGGATATACTACAAGTAGATTTTGAGGTTAATTTCAGGTCAGAGGTCTTTGCATACTGATCCCATTTTTTTTTCTTCCCAGATGAGTTTTTTAAAGACCCTAATCTGCTAAAATAAATGTCATGTGCAGAAATCCTGCACACTGAGTCTGGTGCAATTATCTTTCTATTCATTCGTAAATTTGCATCAGGCAGTCAAAGTGATTTTAAGCATACAAAAAAGAGCAAACACTGGGTCACTCCATTCCAGTCCATAAAAGAGCAAGGAAAGTTTCACCTGCTGATAAAAGAGCTGCAAAATTATACCGATCGCCAGGAATATTTCAGGATGACAGTGGTCTCATTTGACACACTACTAGGAACACTGCAACCACACATTAACACCTCATTTCCTCTTATGTAGCTACCTTGTATTTGTAAATCTGTAAATAAACAGATGAATAGGTTCATTGTGCTTAGTGAAAATTGTTAATGTCACAGGAAGGTGAGATGCAGTTCCTGACTACCGTGATCATTAATGTCTTGTCAAAAGAGAAGAAATGCACTCAGAATTTTAAAAAGCATTGTTTTAATATTTTATTTCATTTGAGTACATTATTTGACATCGTGATATTTACATTTATTCTATAATGTCATCTACATCTTAATCCAGCTGTACACAGAGGGAAGTCCAGGGCCTGTGAAAGAGGATTAGCATATTTTACATGAATAGATCAACATGTTTGATGCCCACTGAGGTCTTTCAGTGAGTTAATTTTTTAAGCTGCTTTCATGAACGCTGTAATACCAGTAGCTGTTGGTCTGTGAAATGTTTTACATCTGCACCATTTTTGGAAAATGGAAATGAATAGTAAATGTTTCCTGCCAGAGTGGCAGCACATTAAGCAAATATTGTATGCTGACCAAACTATGTCCCACTACAAAATAATAAGAAAGAAAGAAAGCACAGCCTGTGTTTCATGGGCCATGTTGGTGTTCCCTGTTGACCGAAAGCAGAAATGAAGATTGAGGTAACCCAGTTGTAAATATAATTTTCTTAAAAAGTCACAATGAACAGCAAGTTTTTCAACAGTCCCTCGATGCTGGTGTGCTAATCTCTTATCTTCCTGTGTCTCAATCATTTACGGCTCATGGTTTTTTAAAAAGACAGTTTGGGAATTTTATCATCAACAACCATACAACCAATCTATACTTTCATTTGATTACAGGTTTGATCAGGCCAGCATTAGTTACATGTTTGATAAATAAAGTGGTTTTGCCACTCTACAGAAGGCCTCATAAGTTGAGAAAAACATATTGCATATTTTTTAAACTTAACAAGTGAAAAATAAATGTCTCTGACCTGCTTAAGACTGATTTAATTCCTCTGAAATAAGGTGAAACAAAGAGTCACTTTCCCTGTCTAAACACAGGTAAAAATTTCTTTCTTTTTATGCCCCGTTATGCATGTGAATTTTTGTTCAGTCCACAAGTATAAGCTCCCCTGTAAGCTCTCACTAATATGTAAAAAATAAAAAGACCTTTTTTTGTTGTTCATTTTAATTAGATGCTATTTGTTATGAATGACACTTAAAGAGTTAAGAGTAATACCTCGTAATGATGAATAAATCATTTACTATGTGCTTGCTCACAGCCTAAATCTTAAATTCACCCTCAAAAGGTCTAGCAAATGCCAATAAACACCCTAATGATGTGGATAATGGATATATAATAAGTTTCTAATTAGAGCCTGTAAGTGTAAGCAATAATTAATGTGTCAGTTATGCTTTCATAAACACTTGTTAACATTTTACATATCGATGTATTATATGTGGTCTATTGACTATTAAATGATGTTTATTAGGAGGACTTTGATATAAAGCGTAACTGATCATTTTCTATTGACACAGTCTTTGTCATTATGGCTGATACTGAGCAGGATTAGCAAAAAAACATATGTTTCCTGTTGAAGTTCATTTTTAGTAAGAGAAACTCTACGATCAGAGCTTTCTCAGGTCAAAGAGTAAAATGGCCCTGAACAGGATTAGATGCTTATGCCTGTGTGTGAATACATCACTGTTCTCTGGGGGTTTAAGAGTTATGCATACGCATACTGTACGCATATTGACACTATTATGACATTAATTTGGACACAGGAGCGCACATCATGATACCAGGGATGTGACTGGTGACCTTAACCTCAAACTAAAGAATAAACTTTGTTTTAAGGCCCACATGTCTCCTGATGACCTGTTAAGAGAGTTCATGTGCTCCACAGCCTGAGGTTTAATTCTGCTTTTAAAACCTATTACTCAATTTGAAGAGCTGCTTTCTGATTTTCAACCAGCAAGTCTGACCTTTGACCCTAAATAGTTAGATTAATTAAAAAGAAAAAAAAAAAAATGTTTACAGCAAACAAACAAATCTTTATCGACATCCATGTTAAATATTGCTGTCAGTGGCAGCACCTTAAAAACCTCTGATCCTAAACTATAAACATCTAATAACAATAACATCTACATACATGATGATACATAAAGTCAACAAGTATTGATCTGAAATGGCTTTAAATATATTCCTGATGTTAAACCAAAAACAGAGTCTTCTCATTACACTTACTCATTTCAAACAGTGAAATTTACAATTTCTTACGATAAACTCTTAAACATATGTGACCCAAATGTGTTCATAGAAAGCTTATTGTTCATAGATTAAATATGGAAATAGAGATGCAGCTGTTCAAAAGCACGTTCACTCCAGTGTGTGTGATGAGAGTATACTGTGGAGGTGTGTAAGTGTGATGCATTTATCAACCAGCAGATGGTGACACACAATAAATGAAAAACATTCTGAGACGTCATTTCAAACATTATAATCTCAATCACATCAAAATAATCTGAATGTCTCGGGATCACTGGATTAAAACACTGTCCATATGAGGAGTGACACACAGCTAAAGAAAGGACAGATGAAATCAAATTCAGAGGCTCAAGGAAAACATCCAGTGGGATCAGAACTTGGTCAGCAGACTTCAGGCTGTTTCCCATAAAGACCAGGAAACACTGCTGACTCTGACCTTTGTCTGGCCATTCCCTCTGGTCTCTGGTGAGGGAGACGGCAGATCCTCAGGGCCCTTAAAATGTCTAACAGAGGACAGAAATCCAGACAAACGGAGTCCACTTAAATCTGTATCTCTACTAAGCTGACCGCCTTGTTGGTAACACACTTGCTATTGACATGTATCTCATACAACCTCAGTTCAAATAAACTGAAATACCTGTTTAAAAATTTATGAAACCCAATCTTTTATACTTAAAAGTAAATTTGTCTCAGTTTTTTGCATTTGCAGAACTCAGTAAACTTTATCAGCCAAACTATAGTTGGAGTTAAAATCAGCTCTTTGCATTTGTAGGTTTAAGAACATCATTAGATTTGTTGTGTCCCATTTTTTACTTTGTGCACAGCCGCAGCACCTTGTCTCATTAGTAAGCTTAGTATGATTCAAAAAATTATTTTCTGCACAAAATAGTCATCTTATGATTATTAAGTTATCTCGTGTTCCCAAAATTAAATTTTTTTGCACGAGTTAAAATCTTTTTCCTACAGAATAGATATAATGACACACATGGTTATTAATTCATGTGCACTAGTTCTTATCTTGCTTGTACAAAAAAATAGTCTTGTGCTGACAGGTTAAAGGTGGGGAAGGCAGGATTCTGTTAAAGAAGCATCTTTTTTGTGGTGTATACACAAAAAAACTATCAATAGCTGTTAGTTATTGATGACAATTGGTAATATAATGATATTGCTGTGTTTTGTTAGGACTGTGTAGTCAACATTTTGAAATTTCAGAGCGCTCCGCTCTTTCTGACTGTAAACGAAGCCATTCCCCGCCTCCCCCATCCTGATTGGTTGTGAGGCAGATGCTGCTCCTTAGTGCTGATTGGTTGTGAGGCAGACAGTGCTCCCCCGTGTCGTTCAGGAGCCCAAACAAAGTTAGCGTGCTACAATATCAGACAGTAGAAACCAACCAGAAAGTACGGAAAATTGTCTGAATCCTCCTTTGGCCACGACTGCCAACACAAGCAAGAAAACAAACTAAATACCGGAGACTCTGGTGGAATAACGGGTGCTTAAAAAGGAGGAGGACCACCCCGACAAGAGCTAAAAAAGCCGGGTCAACAGTGATGGGGAACGCTTTGGGATCTTACGGAACCTGTAACCTTTCTGCTGGACAGGTAAACCACTTTAACAAAGTAAGCCAAGTGTAACAGACATGTTTTTTTGTCAAACAGGACCTGCTGTGTGTTGTAGCGCCGCCAAACTGTTTACCGCGGGTCCTGGACTATGTCACTTTATCCTAGTTGTAGAAGTCCAGCAAACATTGTGTTTGCTGGTAGTCTGTTGGCATCTACAGTAGCACCAATGCTGTTTACTAAAGTATTTATCTGCATTATATCTGAATTTAATTGGAACTATACCAGCGAGCAGGATTGCTGTTTGTGGGCGGGGCTTGTTGAAGCAAAGAGGGGAGAGGAGGAGCTGAGGCAAAAACTGGTTAGGAGGAGTAGTGTTTACATTCAAGATTTCCCCAAAAAATGTCACTTCCTCAGATCCTGCCTACCCCACCTTTAATATTTTGCACTTACATTTTAATTTGTCTGCACAAGGTAAATGCAATGTTACAATAAGATAATTAAATGTTACCTCAAGATAGTAAGTTGTGGGTAAAATATGATTATCTTGGGGAGACAATCAATCAATCAATCATGTACACAGAAGTTACTGAGTTATTTTGAGCAATTACCTTGAGTGCTTACAAAATAAAAATATTGCGTGCACAAAAAATATAAGTCTTTTGTGTGCATAAGAGATCTACTTGTTGGTATCGGACAATAACTTTATATCATATTATGTGCAAAAAAAAAAGTGGTAACTTGTGCGCACGGGCTAAAAACTTCTTGATTTTAAAAAGATGATTTTCTTGAGCATGAGACAATTGACTTTTACACACAAGGTACTGCCATGACTGTCAAAATAAATAAATAAATAAATGAAATAAAATAAAATGCTGTGCTCAGAAGATATTAATTATAAAGCACAAGATTATCATATTTTTACCACAATATAACTATCTCAGGGAAACAAGTCACTGTTTTGTGTGCAGAAGTTATTCATTTTTATTTTATGGTGACAAGATTTGTTTTTAAGATTTGATTTATTTTATGGTCACAAGATTATTAAGTAACATCTGTATGTACAAACTATTTTACACAAATATTGTACTTGTTGGGACAGGGTAATATTTAGCACCTGCAAGATAGTTATATTGTGCCCACAGTGTAAGGATCTTTTAATTAAAATGTTTATCTTTGTGTTCACAAACTAATATCCTATGCCTACAACTCAAAGGGATATTTGGTGTAAATTTAAGTTATGATCAAACACTATGTAACACTGAATTAGACAACCCCTCCAGAAATGAATGTTGCCGACTGCTTGCTTCTTTAGTTACACCAACTTTAGTAACGACCGCACAATAGCAATACACAGTGGTCTACGTCTCCACGTGCAAACCTCATCCCAAAAGCCACTTTATAGCCGCAAATAAATCTCAGAACAGCACCTAACTTCATCAACAGTACATATAGGGTCCCAGCCATAGTACTCGCCACCAAACAGATGTTTGGTGGCTAGTTGGTTGAGGTTTGCACATGGAGACATAGACCGCTGTGTATTGTTATCGTGCGGTCGTTACTAAAGCTGGTGTGACTAGAGAAGCAAGCGGTCATCAACATTCATCTCTCAAGGGGGTGTCTAACTTGGTGTTACAGTGTGTTTGACCATGACTTATATTTATGCTGTAATATCCCTTTAATATCTTAACAACAAAGGATTAGTCATGCAAGCACAAGATAACAGTGTTCACAAGATAATGATAAATTATCGTCTTTCAAACATGAAATAATTATCATATGTCTAACAGTAACTTTCATGAGAGTTTAACTTTTGAGCAGAGGATAATTATGTGGTTCCAGCAAGAATATAATATGTGAGCGAGGTGTAATTCACCTGTTGGTAGAAGTTATTATCTTGTGTGCATAAAATATTGTAAAATATCTTGTGTACACAAAACAGAAGCATGTAGACATCTCTGCCTTTTTGATGTTTTCTTTTTGCGCACAAATTAAGACTCAAGGAGTCAATGACTAAGGATTTAACTGAGTGAAAGTTTCTAAAAAGTTTTATATCAGTAAAGAAGTGAGCTATAGGATCAGAACGAGTAACACTGTCAAACAGGAATTGATGACATTTATGTTTTTAAGCATGCTTTTTGATGTTCGCATTTACTTCCAGCACCATCTTTGCAGGATTACTGCCTCACACTGAGTTTGTACCAAAGCCAGTGCCCCTGAATGCACCAAAAAGACATGAAAAGTTTCACAGAGGCAGGGTTTGCAAAATGATAACCCATGATGTAGAGTACGACTTGCGTTGAAAAGGCCAAACATACAGCATGTTGTCCTCTGGATCCAGAGGTGGAAGACTAACTAGTGATTTCATAATACTGAACCAGCCAATCCAGACCTGCTGTGACAGATTCAGTGCTGTGGCTCAGAGATTATATTTGCTTTATTTCATTATTACTATACGTTCTTTGCTTAAATCTGCAGAGCGGTGCCCTGCCTCTAATTCAATGTCATATAAACGGGATATAAGAACAAAACTCAGTCCTGTTTCGACTCCATTTTCAGTGTCTTATCCTCTGTACCCTCTTCTTCTTCTGCATCCTGAGTCACTTTGCAGTCCCCGATATCCTCCATCTCCACCATATCATCCCTTTCCTGGGCTGCACTCTGCCTAATCTCTGATCCAGAAGTCTCTTCACTTTGTTCATCAGGTCCTTTAACACCTGAAACAAAACCCTCTCTTTCCTGAGCGACTGCAGGACTAATTTCTTCTGATCCAGCCTTCATTTCTGAAGTCTGTCCTGCCTGGCCTTGAGCTGAAGACGATGATTCGTCTGTCTCCACCATAGTGACAACAGAAAACTCTCTCTTGCTGTCAGGGCTGGCTTTGACAATGGTGATACTTTCTATTTTAGGTGAGGAGGGGGTCAATGGACTTGACGGTGACAGAAACAAACCTGCAGGTCTGCCTTCAGAGAGCTGACCCGAAGGAGAAAAAGGGGCAGACTCTTTAGAAAACTCCCCACCAGCTTCAGGTTTAGGTTTTTTAAGAATCCCAGCCCTCTTTATTTCTGTCTTCTCCTCTGTCCTCTGGGTTCTGGCCCCTTCTTGTTCATTTTCCCCAACAGGTGAGGAGCTTGAATCAATTTCCCTTTTGGTTGGGCCAGGTGTAAGCTCCAGTTTTTGGTCTGCAGGGGAAGAGGGGGTTTGTGGTGACACTGGCATGGTGCCCGGTCTTAGAGCAGGTGAAGGAGTTCGGACTTGTGATGGACTAGAACTTACTCCAAAGGATGGTGGGATCCGACCTGAAGGAAGTTTGGGGCTTGGAGTAAGAACAGGGGAAAAGACAGTTTTTGTGGCCTCTGATGGCGTGTTCCTTGAGCCTAGTTTGGGGCTTGGAGTGATCGTCAGAGGTGAGGTAGGTGTTTTCAAAGAGGAAACTGAAGATGGGGTCCGAAGTGGGTATGAAGATGGAGGGGATGAACCTAAGCTTATTAAAGCTAGGTTAGCACCTACACCTGGTTCGAGATCTTGACTGGAGCTTTGGTCAGGAGGGGTCTGAGTGACTGGGTAGTCTGTGTTAGGATAACATTCAGGCTGATTGGCAGGAATCAAAGACCCATACATGGGGGCGATAGGTGTGGAGGTCTGCAAAGGCCCAGGATCGAAGCCCTCGTCAAGTTTAAAGACTTTAACCTCAACATCTCTGGGTTTATCTTCTGTCTTTGATGCCAAAGAAGGAGAATAAACAGGGAGAGAGCTTGGGGGAGTTGCTGTTTTAACCTCAGTGGAGGGTTTGATCATTCCGGTTTCAGGGAGGGAAGAGGGAGAAACTTCTGAAATTTTTGCTTCATGTTTAGTTGATGCAGGCGTTTGATTCTTGGATGGAGCAGGTTTGGGTTCAGTTACTTGTTCAGAGGAAACTTTAGGGCTCCCTCCCTGTGAAAGCTCCTCCTGAACTACAGGCTGCTGCCGAATAGCAAATCTAACTCCCCCAGTCTCCCTACCTGTCCCCTCTGTGGCTTTGACAGTGACTGGGTCGCTGCTCCGCCTCAACCCAAAAATGGTTAGACTCCTCCTGCGTTTCCCTGCAGAGGGAGCAACTCCATTGGGGCTCTCTGAAGGTGGTCGGACATCTTTGAACATGCTCCTCAGGTTGTAACCGCCCTCCTTACGCTCATCGCTGTCATGGGATTGGTCCAACTGGTCCCCTGAACTGATTAATGGGTTTGGACCCCCATGGGGCTTCTTGTCAGTGTGAGTGACTCGAAACCTGAAAGAATAATGATACAATTAGAGCAAAATACTTTTGCTCTTCTGTCATTGATGCACAAAAACATTAAATCTAGTTTCATCAGAAAATGAGGTTGAGGTTGAGTCAGTATTTCCAAGATGGTTACACCGCTGATGCTGGTGTCCATGTTTTATACAGCTGATCATTTGAACCTCAGGGCTCATTGAAGAGCTTTTTTAAAAAGTGAAAGAAGGCGTGGGATGCTGTGTGGGACGTATGCATGTGCGCCTGTTGATATCAAACTGATGGATCATAAGAATAGATTTGTGGCAGATGTTATCATGAGTGTAGTGATGTGCAGTTGAGCCTTTATGAATATAATAAAGCCTGGAACTCCAAAAGACCCTGGATTCCTGTGTGTTGCTTGCACCTCGATGTCTCAAAAGAGTATGGGGTTAGCCGCTGAAGGTAGCATCAATTTCAGCCCTGACGTACACAAAAACAAGACCCTCCAGCACTTTCTAGCCATGATCAGGAGGCTGGAGCAGGAAAGGTTAACTGATGATCCTGTTCTTTGTACAGTGTGCACAGAGAAGCAATCAAGACATTACAAAGTGGTCTGTGTCCAAAGCGATCCAACTTCTGCTGCTTCTGATTGTGTAGGCGTTTAGCAAACCAGCTTTAAGGTTGCAAATCAACATCTTCTTAAAATAGTGCCGAAGCATTTGGGCATGTTTGAGTGTTGCAGCACTAATGTTACTGTCTGTCCATGTTACATAAAGAAACAAGGAAACAAATGAAGAGTTTGGCCGTGAGTTTTTACCTGCCGACAGAGAAGACAGTCTGCTCTCCAGGTTTCTGTTTGAAGCGAGGAGTTCTGCTATGTCGTCGACCCTTCTTGGACTTGACCTGGGCACAGAGGTGGCAGGAGTTGTGGTCGGTGCCTGAGTGGACTGTGTGGAGATGAGGAGGAACACCACCAATGGACTCCTTACGCAACCTGAACATCAACAACATCGTCATTATTATTCTCCACATTCACTTCCTCTACATGCACACCATACTCCTGTATTTATCAGAATTATAACTATAAGCAAACAGTGTAAGAGTCATATGAACATGTTAATATGATTGCCATAATCCCACTTAGGTCATATTTCTATGGGTAAAAGCATCTGCACATGCTCAGTTTGTAAGGAATTTCAGTAGCTTGTTTGATTAGTTGGATGTAACAAAATGCATGCAGTTTGCATTTCAGAGGTGAGATTGAGATTAATCTACCGACTGAAATCAGGAAAAAGATTGAACATAATGGAATTTATTGATGGGCAATGACACTGCAGTGTCATCAACATAACATAAAAACATAACATGTCCATCCATGAATCACACAGTCTAAGGGTGCTTTTAGACCAAAAGTGTCCAAACTTTTAGTTCTGGGAAGATCATGCAAATCAGGACAGTGACATTAGGACAGTTTTTGGAAGATTACTTTAGTTGCACAACTCTTTATTTGAGTCTCTGCTGAAGTTTTGTAAAAGATAAGTTGTCCTACGTCATGCTGGCCACAGATAAGCTGTATTTATTATTGAATAGCTCCAGGATAAAAGTTAGTATTAGCTCTGATGACATAGGGCTCTATTCAGTGCGGCGGAGGGTGGCGGACCATGCGCAGTGTTATTTTCATCTGGCGAAGACCGGTGCACAGCCAGTTTGGTATTTTTGTAGACTGAGGCACACCGAGGTCCGCCAAGCTGGGCATGGTGGCATGGCAGGGGGAGGTGCACAGCACATACATTTAGATCTATGGATATATTCTGATCTATATCTGATCTGATGAGCACGTTTGGCATGGATTTGGACTTGACCGTATTAACACAGCTAAAACCGCATTAAACTGAATTAAATATCTAGTAAATAAACACACATGATGAAGTTAACGATATTTAATTTGTCTCCCCCCTATTTCTATTTTCCTCTTCCTCTTATTTCTCGCGCAGCTCGACCTGGACATGTGTCCATGTTCTCTCCCCGTCCTGCTGCAGCTGCTGCGGCTGATCATATTCAGGTTTCTTTTTAGCCAAATTTATTTTATCTGCGAACATCTATGAAAGAAAGAGCCAGGTCACGGAGCGCGATGCGTCATTACGCACAGATGGTTCAAATTTTAATGCCATTTTTGGAGTTTATGTTGTGATCTGTGCGCTCAACCCACCTTTGTCACATGAGGTTTGAATATGTGCAACTTTATGTGAGTGTCTTTATTTGTGGAAAAGGGTGTTTGTCTTACCAGTGGGTCCAACATTACACACACCAAATCCATCTGTGCTCATATGAGACAGTGTGAAGGACGCCCTCTGCAGCGCTTACAGTGACACTTGTTGATGGGCTGCCTTCTGTCGCCATCTTGTGGCATTACTGTCTTCAGACATCTCTTGATCTCTTTGACTACTTCACGAAAATAGTAATACGCCTCGCCGGTGGCGGATTTAAAGGCGAGGAGAGGAGCTTATGTGATTGGCGAAAACCCTTATCCCCTCCCTCTCTACGACTTATGCCGCTGGGAGGAGCTGAGTTAGGGAGGGGGGATACCTAAGCCGGACTGCGCCGCTCACCAAAATACCAAAATGTGCTTGGTCACGCCTTGTCGGCGTGGCGAACCTGACTTATGCCGCGTCTACGCCACGCCACCGGCGAGGCATGAAAATAGAGCCCAAAGCCTTTTGGTGCTTCAACATGTTTATCCTCTCTCTGCTCAGCTGGTGTCAGTCAGTATGTTTACATTCACAGTTAAATCCAGCAATGGTTAAAGCTTGATTTGGTTATTTAACTGAACCACTGTCCTTATTAACAGGAGCATGACTCCCTTAGCTATGGTGGGTGGTGTCAGGGGCGTAGCCTCCATTTCAGAAGTGAGGGGGACTGATTGTTCAGAGGCAAGATTACAGGCCAGAGAAGTGCAGGGGACAGAAGAGGCAGGTACTGGAAGTGTGGGGGACGTACCCTGCATCTGATATGCCCATGGGTGGTGACATGCCTCTTGTTATTATCGGGTTATCCCCCCCCCCCTCTTTTTTTAAGGAACATGTAAATGTGTTGTGTGTTTAAATTAAACAACAGTTTATAACTCAAACAATATTGTTTCCTGATAAGACTTACTCTCTGCAACTGTTAAACCAACCAAAAGCATCCTGGGATATGGGACAAAAATGTTCAAACAATTGTCAACAACTGTTTGTGCTGGTATGATTCTGAGGAACTGTTTGTTTGTTTGTTTGTTTGTTTGTTTGTTTTTTCTTAATTGTGTAAATAAGATCATCTTCAAGCCTTGGACCTCTGGAAAGTATACAACCTAAGCAGGAGCTTTTCAGTGGGTAGATCTTTCAGACTAAAACCAAATTTAGAGCTGGTTTCTGCTGCTGTTCCTTAAAAGGTCTCTAGTTCCTAGGAAATTTTCCTGCTGTAGAAAACCTCCTTACAGTATTACGATGACAGTGGACAATCTTTTCCCTTGCACATTGGCTTCACTATTGAACATTGGGGGTTGCTACTTTGGCCCATATGAGTAACCTAGAAGAGGGATGGATGAGCGTTGACTCAGACCATGATCAAGAGTAGTGGATGGGTACAGAGCTGGTTGCATGCTCTCCAAATTTTTGTCTAGTAGGGATCTCAGTTAGCCTTGTTGCTCCTACATTGGAAATCTCAACTTGAGACCAAGTTTGGTGGGCGTCCTGCCCCAGAGCACGGTTTTGTTATTGAATATTTGGTGTCTAACTGCTCAGACATTAAATAACCTGTTAGCTCTGAACTTTGACAGATCTGTGACATCAAGCAGCAACCCACAATGACTCTTTTGAAACTTTGCAGTATTTCCAGAATTTGCAAACCTTTAACCTTGGAGTTTTGTCCAAAAACTAGCATGAAGCCAATTAACAATAAAGCGCCCTGTTAGGGTTAGCTTACCTGGGATCATGGCGTACACAGACGTTGTGGTTTCCAATCATTTCATTGAAGGCCTCCATGTTAGCTGGAAATAACAAGTGACACCGGATTAGAGACATTTATTTTGAGAAGGGGTGCTCCAGTTCAAGACAATTAATTTGCATGTTGCTGGAGATTTGCATCTATCTGTGTTCTGATATGAAAAAAAAATTATAGCAACATTACAAATCTGACCAAAAGCTTTCTTTTTAAAGTATGAACATTGTGTGTATCAACCTCCCAAAATGGGTAAGTCTTATCAGATATTTGTATTTTAAAGGACACAAAAACAGAGCATGGTTTACACTTTTGCATGTTTTTTCCCTCTTAAATGGGTTTGATTTGTCTATATTCATCACCTTCATTTTCAATAATGCATTTGAGGATCTGCTCCACTGTGTCCTGGTGCTCCTCATCTTCATCTGTCAACACAGCACAACAAGCACAGCTGTAAAAAAAATCCTGACAGACTCAACATCCTGAAAGAGAAAAGCTGGAGGGTTTTTTTGGATGAACTTTTTCTGCACTTTCTTGTGTTCAGTTGTTACTCGTCCATGTGTGTCTGTGTGTGTTGACGTGTATGTAAATGCCAGTTTGTGTGCATGCATATTTCTGCAGATCAGAGAAAGTGAATATTTGGATAACTTCATGTTTGTGTGAGTTCTTGTTACGCAAACATGAAGGAAGATCATACAGATCTGTGAGTGTTTGTGTGATTCAGCAGAAGTGTTGTGAAAAGAGCAAGGGAAAGGAGGATAAAAAGGAAGACTGGAATACGTCTGAAAATACCTTCTTTTAATAATATTTTCAGAAAAACCTCCATCTATCACATTTGACTAAACAATGAAGTCATGGCAAAGGTGACCTGCTGCAAATTTGTACATGGATATTAATATTTGACTGGCCGTATAAAACACGGATAATACAACAGCTCCCCATAAGTGAAACATTTGGAGCTCCCCCTGGTGGCTGGCTGCAGTTTAGCTAACAAAGCCCACCTCCTCTATGTGAACAGATTAGACATGGATTAAACTTAAAAATGCTCTCAAGCCTGACTTCTTTTATTTTAGTTTTTACTTATCATGCTGATTGTGATCAGTTGAGGAACAACGAGAGGAAACACAACAACCATTAACTTTTCATTACTGTGAATGACTGCTTTATACCAACAAAAGAATATGTTTCATTGTGGGCTGTAGGCACCTAGAGGAGCTTTAAAATTCTATCTGAGTGTGATGTGTGTGTTTGGAGAAAAAGGCAGGATGTTAATACCACAGCTTCATCATATTTTTGTTCTGGGTTTATCTAGCATTCAGCATAGGTTTGATCTGTATTTCTGTACAGGTTTATTGCTGATATTTAACTGCATGTTCTTCATTTTGGTCTGGAACTATTTTATTATCTCATATGCTTATGTTAGATTCTTGCCTCTTGCACAGATTGCAGGATTGATCGAATGATTGAAACTGTTTATTTACAACATGTTAAAAATAAAACCAACAGGAAAAAGGATTTTTGGTCAAGGACCAGGAAGAAGTAACTCTAATTCGATCCAAGTCCTATTCTGATACAAGTTCATTATTTATATATCTAAAGTAAAAAGATGTTCTATGTATATCTGTGTTGGTACATGTGTACCGTATAAATATATCATGTAGAATATATGCAATTAAAGACCCACACACAAACTCACATTCCAAAATATACATACATATTAATTTGCAAGTACACATATGTGTACATAAAACCATACATATGTATAGTAAACCTGTATACCTCTAAACAGTCATTTACATATTGGCATACAAAGACAAGCTAAATATCTGATAAACCCAAATTCCTGCCATCACCTGGTGACTAATGAAGCCCTTCTTGAAAACTCCTTAAAGCCTCTGATGTGGATAAGATTTTAAGAGAAAGATTTGGTTTAGATTTTTCTCTCTTAGGATCAGAGAGAGAAAAATCTGTATTTAAAAGTCTCTGAAAATGAGATATGGACTGTCTAGATATTTGTAACTAACCGAAAAGGCTGGTCCCTCTATCTCCCATGCTGTAATCTATGTCCTGTATTCAAGACCCTCCCAACCAACTCAGTTGGACAACAAATTTACATGTTCAGGCCTTTTTTACAGTCCTGATCGGTTTAAAGTGCTTTTTTTTTACAGCTCACCATCTGCATGGCCTCCCAACTTCTCCTCTTCCTCCTCATCATCGTCCATGTCCCCAGTACGGCAACGGTAGCCCTTCTTCTTCAGCAGGTGGCAGATGAGGAAGCCCAGCAGTCCAGTGATGAAGAAGAGGAAGACCACCACAAAGATTATGTAGGGCGGGGGATTTTCCCCCTGCCCTGAGGCCTCTAAATCACTCATAACGTCTGTTCAACCTGAACCAAAAAGAAAAAGAGAGGGAGAGGTTAGATGAGTGAGCTCTCTTCCTCATACCAGCAGCTTTAGGATGACTGAATTATTGAATCAGCTCTTTCTCCTTTAAAAACCTGTTTTATCGATAAAATTCAATTATAACGCACAAGTACAATAAACAAATAAGCTCTTTCTGTTAAAATGAAGTGTTAGGGTCAGGAACTTATGTTGAAAATGTGAGAGTCACAGCAGCTCATACCACCCACATCTTTAGAAACACTGCAGTTAAAGAAAAAAAAAAACAGGGATACAATGAGATTTTGTACAATATGTAAAGCTTGAATAGCTTTTTGACTAGATGATAAATAACACAACATACAACCCTAACCTCAGCCATCATACCCCCTAACAACAGTAAAATGAATAATCATTTTAACATCATTAACAATCATAAATAACAAGGGTGTCACTGGGGACAACCAAATCACATGCAAAATTAGTCTGTGCTTGAAAACATTAATTTTAAAACTTGTGCTCAACCTATAGGAGCATCAAAGTTTGGTTTCTCTGAATTTGCTGGAATTTTTGTTCCATTTTTCATGTTTTTTTCGTGTTTTGTCAACTGCTGGTGGAAGACTAGTTTGTTAACGAGAGGAGCTTCTCTCATTGAAACAGGGCGGGTCTGGACCACAGCATCCAGTTCCGGCAGTCATCTGAAAGTGTTTTTCATGGTTGCCGTGCTGGTGCAAAGGTGAAGGCAAAGTTGAAGACTAGGAAATGGAGATATAAGCCCTTCCTTCCATTATTCATCATGGGAAACATCAACTCTCAGTCAAAAGTGACGAGCTGGAAGTATTGGTGAAGACTGAGAACTGAGAAAGGTAGAGGTTATTATGAAAACGCAGATCATCCACTTCATAACACCCTGATGGGCCAAAAAACAAGTGGTGGACAGCCCCTATCACTTCGATGCAGAAATTCACAAGATCTTTCATACCCACAGCCATCATACTTTTTAGTTATTCTATAAAGTAGATGAGATGAGATTCCAGACAAATGAATTTCCCTTTGGGGATCAATTAAGTTATTGTATTGTAGACATCACTTAACTGCCATCACTATGCTGCTTTCCAGTTACCTCAAAAGTTGGATGTTGGAGCTAGGAATGAAGTTGATAGCGTTCTGGTAAAAAAGTTAGAAAACCAAGATGGATGCCTACTTTTGTAATGGTAACCTTTCTCAGCCATTGTCAGCTGTTGTTAGCCATTGTTAGCTGCACCAGTAGAAAACAACACGTAGCACAGTATTTTACAAATACAAACATCATAGAGGTGCGTCCACAGTTGGATGTTGGACAGTACTACATATGCCACTTATTTAATTAAAAAAACAAACAAGAACAAAATAACAGAAGTGTTAATAAATAATACATTATGAGAGCTTTTACTGTTGACGCACAGTGCTGCCATCTTGAGTTATGACATTGTGGTCAAATCGGGGTTGGTGTGGATTGGCCGGCTTTCCGAGTCAGCAATCCAACTTCAAGGGATGCTCCGGATCAATTTCAGACTGGGAACTCAACCTCCCAGCACAACTGGAATGCAGCAATAGTACTGCTTGTGTCACCTCACAATAGATTGCTACCCAGCTGACCGGCTACCATTTGCATAGCTTGCAACTGAATAAAAACCAAATACTATTATTGTACAGTGTTTTACTCACCAGTTTGAGACTGTTATCTCAACTTTATTGGTGTGCAAAGAACCATGGAATACGAGGGGCTGCAAAGGATGCACCCGATGCAGCCTTCACAGCCCCGATAAAGTTGGACACAACTTTTTGGATCCTTTAATGAACAATTGTGAAGTATCTGGTCTTGAAATGCAGCCTTCAAAGCTGCTTTTATTAAATGTATAAAAACAGATTTGTTAAGACTGAAGATGGTTAAAGTGAAAAAAACTCACGGGCTTTTTGTGCTGGTTCAAATCATCTCCAAGTCTCCTGTTGCAAACATTAACAGTCAGCCTGGTGGGATCAGAAAAAAGAAATGTACACATGTCTTTCTCATATTAAGCTCTGTATCACAAATATTGATTACAAAAGTAGATCACAGAGTCCTCCACAAAGTCAGCAGAAGGTAATGAAAGAGGCAGGGGGTTCCAGGGATTTGGTGCTAAGGCCTCAAAAACAAAATCTCCTTGGGTCTCAAGTCGTTTTTATGAAACAGACAGCAGGTACAGAGAGTTGGACCTCAGGGAACAAGCTGCTGAGTAAGGGTGAATGAGTTCTGACAGGTACACTTTTCTGGGGCCTGACCATGAAGGGCTGGGGAAGTGAGGGTGACCATTTTAAATTTGATCCTAAAAGCCACAGGGAGGCAGTGAAGAGAAATCAGTATGGGAGTGATGTGAGACCATTTGTATGACCTTGTGAGTCATCTTGCAGAAGCATTCTGTAGTGACTGTGGGTTTAGGGTGAAAGTGGTGAAAGAGGTGAAAAGGGGTTGCAATGACCAATGTAGGATGAAGTAAAGTAAGGACGTGAATGACAGCCCTCGCTTAGCAGTGACAGGATTTTCAGCCAAGACTCATGCTTGCAATTATTTTCCAGACCCCTTAAAGGGGTTTTCTGTCTGTGTCAATTATGGCACCCCCAGTGGACAAAGTAGTACCCCTGTTTCATTGTTGGTTGTATCTCCTCCTTGTGTAAATGGCATGAACTGACCAAAAAAATCTCTTTTGGTGGCATTTTTACAGTAAAATCTATCACTCATTGTGAGTATTTGCTGTGGTAAAGGTAACAAGCATCATCATGGAGACACAACACTGTTCATTTCACCCTGTTTTGTCACCTATCAAAAACTCCTGTGACTGCTCCTGTGTAGATGTCTAAACTGGAGATGTGACACATCTATGTGTTCTCTTTTGAGGTGCCTGGATTGGCTGATTGAAATCTGCTCTGATGTGGAGCACCTGGGCCTGCTGCTCCGTCTCCTATATATGCTGGCTTCCTGTAGCCTGTCTGTTCTCTTGCTCTTCCTGCTCGGCTCTGTCTGCCCTGTCAATAGCACCTGCTCCTCTGATTAGGAATTTCTGTAAATATCATTACACAGAGGTTTCAGTTTACTTCAGAGGTATGAACTTGAATGCTAACTTTTTTGTGTGAATTGCTTGCAATAAACTGGTCAAAAGTTTGCTGAAAAATCATCATCATAATGCAGATCTGTAAAAAGTCAGGCTTTGTCAGGTCTGTTCTCAAATGGAGGAAATAACTTCTGAAACTTTTGTTTGTTGAATTAAGGTCAGATCCATCATTTTTGATGCATTCAAGGAAGTCAGGAAACGTCAATGCTTATTGGTTCACATGGCACAGCATCAAACAAATTTGTTTGAGATAAAATGTTTGAACTAGACAATTTTTAATTGCACTTGCATTCATTTCTTTGTTAATAAGGAAAAAATAAACCATTGAAAGATTTTTAATGATGGGAGCAGGGATGTCATAGAGGTTAATTGTGTTCTGCCTGCTTTTGCTCTCCATACCGACTAGTTTTCCTACAGACACTGCAGCCTGTTGGTATGTAAATGGCATTGATTGGTAGGTGTGCGAGTGATTAAACAATAAGCATTAATATCCACAGTGCTGAGACAGTGGGCACCACTAAGCTTGAGCTAGCCCTGGTCCACAGAATAAGTATTGAGTATCTAGTTTGGGTCAGCCAGTTTTTATCAACCTCTACATGATATGTATGAAAGTGACTATCAAATGACTGTAGAACCAGCATTTTACCACAAATTAGCTCCACTGTGGCTAAGTTAAAGTTATACTCTATTTGCAAAGTTATTGGAATTTTATCTGAGTGCACATCTATCACAAACATCTTTTCAGCATACTTTACAGTGTTTATTGTAACTTCAGACACAAGCTGTGTGGCTTGCCACTCAGACTACAAAGCAAAAAAAGCACATTTTTCATTCCTAACTATAAATTACAACTAAACATTCTCCTTTTTTAAGAAGGATCTTTGTTTGATGTTGATGTTTTTCCCAGCTTCCCAACTGATCAGCAAAAAAAAGAGATAAAAGTGAACATTTGGCTGATTACTAATAATGGCTGATGTAAGAGCATGTTTTCTGTATAAGATCCATAAACTGCTTACAACCAAAACTACTAATGCAGCTCTAAGTATTACAAAGTGTAATGATATTTTTGGAGCAGCAAAGACAACACTTCAGTCTTCTTATATATAAACTAATTATCTTGTAATTTCTATCCTTAATTTTTTACAAATTTCAAAGGCAAGCTTTCAAAAAAGCTCAACTTTGAGCAAATTTTGTTTTTTGTTGTTTGTTTGTTGCAAAACTGAAGGTAAAGATTAAAGAAATTAAGATTATATTTTTTTTTTTTTCTGATTTACAGCATAAGATTTCACATATACTATTTTTAATTCTACACACATTTGCAAATATCCACAGCAGGTTTAAGATTATCTCTTTTCATATTTACCATAGTTTTTCTGATCTTGTCACAGATAATTTAAAGGGAAAAACTGCTTCTTTTGAAAATTGATTACATTATTTAAAAAAAGAAGTTTTAAGAACAATTTGTCTTTTGGATTATTGTTGATTTTGACAGCTATCTCATAATAATCCCAAAAGTAGGCAGAAATGCAGAGGATACATTTTACAATCTTAGAAAAATACTCTGCAACTGTTTGTGTGAAATATTTATGTCTGCATTTTCCCAAAAGCTTATTCAACATAGGCAGGCTAACTATAAGATACATCCTTCGTGTAGTTTTGCCCCAGCTCTTATCTTTCCTTTAAATGCACAGGCTAAGCAATTTGTGGTTAAAAAAATAAATAAAAGTGAATAATATCTAGTTCTTACCATATTCCTGGGTTAGGGTTAGGGTTAAAAGCAGCAATATCCAAACATGTGAGACTTAGCCAAAGTAAAAAGAAGAACAAGACAGAAATAACTTGGAGCTTTGGTTAATAAACAGTGCA